TACGACTTCATTTTATACCCCAACATGTATGAAACAGCCTTCTAATAATGCAATGCAGCTCGCCCAAAACCATATTTAAAAGTAACAGTACTACAAACAGATATCACACCACTAAACAGTTTTCTTATAGGCATATATAAAGCAAAAACGCACATCTGAAGGACATATTCACCAACATGAAGGGTGAGAAAAAAAGATGAGAGGTACAGTCAAACAAAAAGGTAAGAAAAAGAGACAGATTATTTTCCCAGATGCGCACAACTGATAAAAGCAAAAGAAATTCCTATTATTAGTAACATTAGAAGGCACAGCTCCATACAGCATTAAACATAATATTCAAATGAATTGAAGGTGCAGCTCTCTACAACATTAAACAAAATATTCACAAGCATATACACAGTATGTACACAAATAGTACACATGCATACACACATTGAACTAGAGAATGAAGAGAAAGAAAGAGAAAAAGAGACATGTATAGCCAAAGAAAGAGATAAGGAGAAAGATTACTTTCCCAGATGCACACAACTGATAGAAGCAGTGATAATTCCTCTCAGGATCTGTTATCTGAACAACACGGGACCGTTCAAGAAGGTAAGTTCTAATTGCAGCACCAGATATTCTACCATTTGCATCAAACTGGATCTCAACAAACTTGCCAAAACGACTGCCACAAACAAAGCATAAAGGATTAAACAAGAGAAGTAGAAGATAAATAAATTATATCCTCTCTCACTTCCATCTTATCAGCATACAACAGCAAACTGTCATGTAATATGGAAATAGCACAAGCTTAACATATTGAGTTGCATTGTTATTGTTTTATTTGACATAATTCAAATAAAGAAATCTTATATTCCCCCATCTGGCATACATTCAAAAGTATACAGGTTATAATATATTGATACACACAACAAACAAACCACTTGGTTTCATCTATCTTGCACAATCACAGTTATAATCATGATCCAGAACATATGATCTGAGACCACACCACAAATTGAATGAACAGTATGGGTTACTCTAAAAAATCATACTCATGAAGAATGACCGGATAAGGACAGTAGGATCAAAGGCTGAATCAAAGACTAGGGTAACAACATGGATTACCAGGATTATATCAGCAACAATTTAATGGAAGCTAAATCCTTTGAACTTCGTAACAATTACACCTATTTGAAATGAACTATAATCCAACACACCGCTGATGGAGTTTATTATAAACTCCACAAGCAGTTATATACACTAGCCACATGTATTTTGTGAAAAGTGTTCTAAAACTCACCTTGAATTGTCATTTCTAACAGTCCTTGCATTTCCAAAAGCCTCCAAGAGTGGATTTGACTGAATCACGAAGAAAGTGAAATCAAGAGCAAGTTGGTAGAAAATAAAGGAAGCACATTTCAAGAGTATGTAAGAAAACATGAACTAGGCTAAACCCCATCATGAGTTCATAGGATCCTTTATTAAGCTTCAATAAAACTACAAAATAAGCAAAATAAAAGTTTGATCCATTCTAAGTAATCTGCATCAACCTCGACCAAAAACTGCTAGTAATTGCCAAACATAAGACAGTGGGCTACCAGACACAACAGTCCACCCACTCACCCACCCCCCAAAAAAGAAAAAAAAAACAGACGGACCATATTTACAAGTAATAACAAAAACTTAATAATAAAGAAACAAAAAAAAAAGTTTATAAATGTAACAGTTTAAGTAATAATAAAGTAAATCAATTCATGCAATCTTACTTCAAGAACTTGCTGCTCAACACTTCTGTCATCACCAGCTGCATGTCCTCCAACAAAAGTAAGATATTGCATAATTAGTTTTGTTGTCTCAGTTTTTCCAGCACCACTTTCTCCACTAACTAGTATAGACTGGCTTCGACCCTCATTCATCATTGCTCTAGGTTATAAAACAAGGGATTCAATTGATACCAATTAAATCATGCCATCAGTAGCATTATGGATCAAGCATCAGGGCCAAGATGACATACCTATAGGATACATCAGCCACAGCAAAAACATGGGGGCTTAGCTCACCAAATGGAGCTCCCTTGTACTGCTCCATCATATGCACATTGTAAAGATGAGGAAGCTTTGTGAAAGGATTAACTGCTATCAAAATGCCTCCCGTATATGTCTATAAAAGTGAAACAACATTGAAAAGTCTTGGTTTTGAAAACTGAAAAAGTACCAACTAAGGATACCAAGAAAATCAGAAAAACCATTATACAAATATTACAGAGGTGCATGCGCGAACACATCCATAACCAATAAGAATCAAAAATGCCTTTTTAAACTAAAATATGTTAGCCTCAATTAGCTAAAGATCATTAATAACAACATTAAACAGGGAAAAAAAAACAAAGCTCAGCTGCTAATAAAATCAAAATGTAACTAGATAATCAAATTCAAAGGATACAAATTTAGTCAACTATGTCTTATCAAATGAATAAAGCACTTTCAAGAAGAAAAAAAAACCATGCCTAGATAACTATTAAAAAACCCACATTAACTTATTCATATGGTGCACTGATTGAAACAACATAAGGTGAAAGAAACCTTAAGTAATTAAAAAAAATGGAAAAATTCTACTCAGTAAAGAAATGGCCAAAGGTGTTGTTATTCAGTTAATACCATCTAAATTATAACAGGTAGTCATAAGAGGAAAGCAAAAATCTAAATTTGGTATGGTAACTACTAGAAAGTCAATCTCATTTACCACAGTTCACATCATCATAGCCATAATTAACAAATAAACGGAAAGGAAAGAATTGTTGCATGCCTTTGAAGAATCTCAACGGTTTCTTTATTAATGCGAGGGGATACTTAGTTTTTCCGTACCCTAGCACAAGGAACCAAAATTCAAGCATTTATAGAAAACATATTTTTAACTAAAAGTGGAACACAGGCTGCATAGTTGATCTCCAACACCATAATTTCACCAAAACCTACCCAAAGTAAACATGTTCAATGTGGCAATTCAGACGTCAGCACGAGTTCCACATACTAAATTTAACTAACAAATTTAACATATTGAGAATAAGTCCTAATCATTACCAATTTGAACATCTACAAACAAAATAAGCGCTAAAAAAAAATTAACTCCACATTTAAGCAAAATTTTAAACATCACTTGACGGAATTAAACTTACATAAATATCATTCAAAGCATATCTCCTCTCAAGATTATAAAGCACACCAGGCTCATTCAAATAAGTCAACTTCGTCATATCATCAACTCCTCCATGTTCTTCCTCTTCATCCGCGTCTCTAGGAAACAATTTCTCTGGCAATGCCAACACCTGAACAACGAAAATTAAACAAAAAATTCAAAAAGTAAACAAACAAATATTGTCCAAAATACTAAAAAAATAAATGAAAAATAAGCGGATATGAATGAAACTTATACCGTTTTACCAGAGGCAGTTTGGACTTGGACTTGTTTGCCTTTAAAATTAGTGATTTCAGCAGCAACCCAGGCCAAGTTCTTGTCCTCAACCCACACCTTAGCGCCCTTGCGCAAATTCATGTTTGGTTCCTGAGAAAATATGAGAATTCAAGAAAACGAAAAATTAAAAAGAAAATTAAAAGGAAACCCTAGAGAATTTATTTGTGTTTGTTTGTTAGTTACGGTAGAGTGAAGTGTGAGTGCGACGAGTGTGATTTCGGAAATTTCAAAGAAACCCTAAACGGACAGAGACAGAGAGAATACGGGCAGGTGTATTAGCTGTGAATTTTTTTGGCTTCCCGCTCTAACTTCTGGTGTAGACTCTAAACAATATTGAATGGTATTTTCTTTTTCTTTTTTTTTAATATACCGTATTCGACACGTCATTCTCTACAGCGCCTTTGCTTTGCTTGTATATTCCATTATGGAATATAAAAATTTTATAGAAATTGTTACCGCCGGAGCGGGACAGTTTGCTTGATTTGATGACCTGCTGTTTGGTTGCTGGGAAAATCGAAAATTTTTAAACTTCGAAAATCATGGACTGTTATCACTTTTTTTTATATATATAAGATGGGCATAAACCACATAATCGAATGATTTTGATTCAAAATCAAATTTTATATTTTTTTAAATACTAAATCAAAGAGTTGAGGAGTACTTTCCTTTTTCAACGCTTCTTTTCTAATTCTCTTTTTTTTTTCTTTTCTATTTTTTTAAGTGACAGAAGATGCATTTATCAAAAGGAATTTGGTAATAAAAAGAAAATTGGGCAGAAAACTTTACATTGAAGGCATTTATTTTCTTGATTCCAAAATTCAAATTTCAAAATCTAATATTAATAGTAAATCTTTATTATCCATCTTCCGGTAAATCATTGTTAATTTTTTATTTAAAAGTGAAAATATTTTATATAAATTAATTTTTAAGTATTAATTTATTAATTAATGAAGCAAAGGGCAGGTGGTTTGGTGAATTTAGTGAAAACGAATTGGTCGATTGGTCCATGACAAGAAGAATCTACTGGTTTTTGGCGGTGGGACTTTGGCCTTAGATGCAGCAATTTTTGTTTTTATCAATTTTGAAGTTTGCCCCCACCTACTTCCAGCCATTCACCAGCTGCATGGAAACTCGGTTATAGTGCCGTTATTTTAGTTTGTGTCCTCTAAAATTCATTTTCTTCTGATAAAATTTAGTAACACATTTTTTATGGTTGCAATGTAATAATCAAGTCCGGCCACTTCTAGCCTTCGATAATTGGATAAAAATAAAAGCCATAGATTTTACATTGAAAAAGGATGAGAATGATTTTGAGTAATGATTCCTTCACCGAAGAAATATATATTTAAAAAAATATATATCAGTGGTTACATCAGTAGTTGTCTTTGCTAGTAATAACCTTTCAAGCTTCATGGCTTTGGTTATTTAACTTGAACCAGCACGCATTTGTGAAATTTTCGCAATAGCAAGTCTTCCTGCTCTTGTTAGACCCATGCAGCCGCAAAAGTAAGGAATTGGTTACAACAAATATTGAGCTCAAGGCCATTAACCCACCTATCAGAACCAATACCCAGAAAGGTTAGATGAGAATATATTGTGGGGACACCATATAAAACCTCTAAGTGTTACTTCTCTTTTCCATTTTACTTAACAGAAAGTGAAGGTGTCATAGCAAAATCGAATTGAGGAAGTAAAACACCGGCAGCGATTGGGATGGCAACAACATTATATGCTACTGCCCATGATAAATTTTGATACACTTTTGCCATTGTTTCCTGTGCAAGATCCACAGCATCTACTACCTGCCAGGGGAGTCTTCAGTTACGATGAAAGAATCTTACTGGGTTCTTTGGAGTGGACAAAACATAACATTTTATAAACATGTCTTACAAAAGCAAAATTGACTAGCTAAAATGTTTAAGAGTATCAACAAGTTCATGTAACATGTTGCATGAACACTAGAATTAATATATCAAACAAGTGCATACTTGGGAGAGTTTGTTTCCGAGAAGTATAATAGATGCTGCATCAGAGGCTGCAGTTTCTTGTGCTTCAGTCTGTAGAGCAATCCCAACGTCAGCAAGGGCCAAAGATGGTGCATCGTTAATGCCATCCCCTACCTTTTGAGAGAGGAAAAAAGTAAACATATTAGCTGAATATATTTTCTAATAAAACCACAGTATTAAATCTTTCCCCTGAGCTCACTTATCAGTCTGATTGTCTGAACACTACTCATTAGAGAAAAAAAAAAACCGATATGGTTAATTCAGGTGAATCCACAGGAATTTGGTGCAAATCTCTGCACTTCTTCATCTAAGTCAATGGAGCAGGCAACGCTGCCTCCTTTTACTAAAATATGAAGAAGTCCAATTATTGACCGAAGAACCCAGTGAGATTAAAGTATACTTTATATTATTACTCAATCTAAATTCTAGAGGACTGCTTGTTCTGGGAGAGATAGTTACCATTGCAATGCGATGTCCTGCAGTCTGAAGAGTAGATATAACCCTTGATTTTTGTTGAGGAGTCAAGGATGCATTAACAAATTCACCTTCTATTCCAACTGTCTTTGCAATAGTTGCAACTGCCTCTTCCCTGTCTCCTGAAATAAGGACTGTTTTGATACCCTTCTGCTGAAGCCTTATATAAACAAGGCAACAAAACAACCACAAATGACATAAAGTCAGAAAGTAAGAATCGCTCGTGAAACATTTTTATGCATTTTCAGCACATTCTTTATAGAATAATTGGGGAAGAAAATGAAAGTTTTAAGTGGCTATTCTAGTTGGAAACATATAAAGACTACAGCTTCAGGTTCCAATCATGGATGGAGAACAATCAGTTGGGAATTGGCTACTAATTAAGACTTATGCTTAGTATGCATGACAAACCAGGCAATGAACAGAACTCTTCAACATGACAACGAAATATTAAAATATTACCTGCTCACAGTGGATTCAGCATCATGGCGCAAACCGTCAGTTATTCCTATGGCACCAATAATGCCTTCTCCTTCATGTCCAACATAGACAGCGGTTTTTGAATGGTTTGATGCTGATGCAAACTGACGCATCATGGCATGTTCTAAATTCATTAAATCAGATGGGCTTGCTTTCATCTGGAAACGTTCATTAACCCATTCTAAACTACCAACAGCAACCAAACGTCCATTTACTTCAGCTAAGGTTCCAAAACCTGGTTCAACTAGTTGGCCTCTTGTTTCTAGGAATGCCAAATTCAATGATTCTGCCTTCTTTACAATAGCCTTAGCAATTGGGTGTGTCGCTGTTCTCTCCACTGCTGCAGCAATTTGGAGAATTTCTGATTCATCATAAGCAAAAGAAGCCACAGAGTAGACTGTGGGTTTTCCTTCAGTGAGAGTCCCTGTCTGCAAAATGGAAAAGAGGGTAAGGTTAGAGTGAAATTCTAAAGGAACAGAGAGAGTAGAGAGAGCATATATTTTTGTGTAGAAGTACTTTGTCAAAAGCCACATGGTCTACACTGGCCAACCGTTCCAGAACATCCCCTCCTCTTATAAGCAGTCCTTGTCTTGCACCTGAAGATTTTCATTGTAGCAAATATATTTGTACAACAGAAAGTTAATTGTTATTTCGAAAACATAAAGAATCAGTAATAAAGTTAAATGTCCAGCATCCTATCTTTAAATTCAAAAGTATCTAACATGCATACACCTCAAACCAGTGAACAACATCACCGTGGTGTCAATGATTTAATGGGCAAATGTTCTGAAATAAAGAATATTTCCAGAAGAGTAGATTTGAGCATTTCTGAAATCATAGTTGAACTTGAATTCCTATGTCCTCAATGTATTATTAAAGTATAAGCCAACCCAAGCTCTCCATATATTTACTTACCTATAGTTAGTTAAGGTGGACAATAGCTCTCCATATATTCACCTATGTTTAAGGTGAATTAACATATGAATTTTTCTGATTGCCCATACTAACTGGTGAATATAAGTATTTTAAACATTCACTAAATCAGTACTAAACAGAAAATGCATTGAAATCAAGATTTATTGACATGCTAGATAATTACCAAGAGAGGTGCCAACAAGGATAGCTGTTGGTGTGGCAAGACCCAGTGCACATGGACAGGAAACTACCTGGAAAAAGAAAACTAGTATTACAAACTAATAGTGCAATTTTTTTTTCTTGATTACTTAGAGAAAATGCAAGTAAAATACATCACTTTAAGTGACAATTCTCTAAGAAAATTAAGACATCTATAAGCATTCATCTGCAAGTTACCCGGTCAACTAAAACATAACTAAAAATTCTAGAAAAATTTTTGTTTTTGTTTTTTTATTTGAATATTCAATTATATTGGATCTTTTCCGCATTTTGGCTGCCACCATTTTTACAAGAAAATCTCCCACAAGTGTGATTTGCAACTTTTTAAAGGAAAAGGCAGAATGGAGAAACTTTTTAACTTGTTTCCTTCCTTTGAAGAAGATAAAAAGTTTATTTTACCATTTTGAGATTACTCTTATGGATAACTTTCTAGGCAACCAAATGGATAAAAAAGAAAACAACGGCAATTACTACTTAGGCAATAAGCTGGTGAAGAAACAAAGGTAAACATAAGATTACTCACTAAGACATCCACAGCAAGTTTCAAACTCAAAAGCAAAGGATCTCCATCAGGGCCAGCAATTCCATTGAGCAAAACATCTGGAAATATGTTTGACCCGGCATAATACCTGGATATAAAAGAAACAAGAAGAAAGAAGCAAGAATTAAGCTAGAACAGAATCAACAGTATAGTAGGGGAAAGTTAATAGCATATCTATAAGCAACTAAAACAAAAGTCCACAAGGACCACCATGGTTTGGTTTGAGTTAAACACTAGCAAGGAGAAAGGGACATTAAGAAATGCATAAAGCAAATGCAGGGATTATATTTCTAGAATGGAAGAAAGTTCAGGGGAAAAAAAAAAAACATTGTTAAGCCTTTACTCAAATTAATGGCCCAGTCGTCACAAGCACATAAAAAAGTAGGAACTATGTTGGGATCTTGGGGGAAATGATGGGGGGAGAACAACTAGAAATAAAGTGCAGCTAAAGTTGTCATAATTTCCTCATACATAACATTTCAACCATTTGAACTTTGCAAACTGAACAACAATTACCCACTTCAGTTTTGTGAAAGCATCTATGAGTTGCATGCATATCTTAAATAAATAAATTAGTATCCTGTTTTTTAATCTATTTAAAGCATCTCAATTTTCATCACCCTATCCAAAGTTTACACATCTAAAGAAACAAACCCCATACCAAAAAGCAAAGGTTGCTGCTGACAGAGTCATTATGCTGTAAACAAATGGCCCAGCTATAGCATCTGCAAGCCTTTGTACAGGTGCTTCTTGTCCTTGAGCATCTTCAACCTGAAAAATGTTGCACGTCTTACTCAGGCTAAAAGGAAGTAATGGTTTGTTATTATTAGTAAGTTGATAAAAATGGGACAATTATACCATGTGCAGCATACATAGTGACTCGTAACAAGCATCAGAAGTAAGAACATGACTGTTTGATTAATACAATAAAAAAGACTCACTAGGGCACTAACCATGCGTACAATCTTAGAAATAGTTGAGTCGGAACCTGTGGAAGTTGCTTCAATCCTTAAAGGACCATCCTGAAATAGAACAACATCCATAAATATAAAAGATGAATGCATGTGTAAGTGGGTTTAATGTAAAATTCTCAAAAACAATAGTTTAGAATGAAGCCAAATGCAATCCCAACTTTCAATCTTTGTCTAGCACTCCTCACTCAGGTCTTATTATTCCAAACAGTCCAGCTAATGCGCATTTTAATTTAAAAGGTTATACCTATATCTCTGAAATAAGCAATGGTCAACCATTTGCCACCCCTAAAGCAAAAGCCATTTGCATAAGTCAGCATTTCAATATTGTATTCCTCTAAATCTTACCCAATTTATTGTTCCAGAAGAGACCATAAGACCTTTTTCCTTGAATACAGGAAGTGATTCTCCGGTCAGCATGGATTCATCAACCACACTTCTTCCTGCAAGAACTTTCCCCTCTGTAGGGAAATTTAATTTCAGCAGAAGTCCATTTGCATGTGGTAAATTTACTCATACAGTCATTATAAAAGGTTCATCTTAGTTTCATATCATTAGCAAGATGTCGTTGGCTTCATAAGAAAAGACATGGGGGTTGTCTTATAAATCAAAGCATGATGCACTGAATCCAGATTTTAAAACATATTTATGACTTACATCTACAGGAATAGTTTCTCCAGGCAAAACTAACACCAAGTCTCCAACTCGAATATCATCTGATGGGACCTCAATGCAAACACCATCAGAGCAAAGTGCAGAATCAGCAGAGGAATCACTGCCTGATGAAGTAATCACAAGTCTTGACTGAGTAGATATCAATGACTGCAAATAATGAACTCACATGTGAAATCAAACAAATGGCAAGAAGTTTAAAAATTAAGGGTGAATACAAGTTGTGCAAGTATAATCTCAGTAAGAATCCATAAAGCACATAAACCAGGAGTCATTGGCCATCAAACATGAAAACAAGTGTTATAGCACCAGATGCATCAAGTGTAAGACTTACAAAAAGTTCACTCATGTCGCTAGATGCTCTAATCCTCGCCTTTTCTTCTAGAGAACGTCCTAGGAGCACAAAACCAAGAAGCATGACCTGCATACTAAAAAACAAGAGTGCTTAATGAGAACCTGTTATCAACCAAACCAAGATTATCAGACTTCTGTCTATGTTGCTTCAGCATAAATAAAAATAGCGAATTGGTAGATCTTACAAAGGGGATCTTATCATGATGCATTTGGCAGCTATAGTACAACCATGATATGCAAAATAAATATTGAAAGGGAGTAAAAGTAAGGCAAATCACCGGTTCATCAAAGAATGAAGCATCCCATTCAAGGCCAGGGTTAAGAAGTGAGACCTACAAGAAAAATGCAAATTTAAGAAACAATAGAAATTAGCTAATTGATTCCATGATTCTAATTAAGAAAAGTGAATCTCAGCTTTCAAACTACAAGAAAGAAAAATCTCACTGCACTAATGATAAATGCTGCAATTGATCCAAATCCCACAAGAGAATTCATATTGGGTGATCCTTTCCTGAATGCCATTAATCCATCAAGTAGCAAGTCTGTAAAACATTTGTTAAGCACTTTGACTGAAGTCAACCTTAAATCACTACAGTATTAAGACACTTTAAAAAGAGTTCTGCTAGCAACTGCCAACGATTATCTTCCTTGAATATATTTGAAATTATTGTCTTTAATGCAAAGAAATTTCTCGAATACCTCCCGAAAGTTAATATATGTGCAAATAAGGAGAGAAAAACAACAAACCTCTTCCAGGCCCCAATAAAGCCGCTAAAGCCAATCCACCTTTAACATAAGAATTATGTAGGACCTCCAAAAATGATCCTACGTCAAACATTATTAAATCAAAAGAGTCATTATCACAGTTTTTTAATTTAAAAAAGAAACTATCTTTAATTGAAGTAAATTACCGTGGCCGATATGAATCCCTAGCGAGTGCAAAATATGTGAAGCATGAGCCCCACAACAAAGCGCCACCAAAGTCCAAGCAAAAGCCACTCGATTCCTACTCTTCACCATCAATTCATCTTTCTTCTTCAACATTTCCTTCCATTTCCTCACGTTCTCCCTGATTCCAAGCCCCGAAACCCTCCTCTTCGCCATGAATCCACACTCGCTCACTCGCTGAGCTATACTCTCCGTAACACTCTCCATGGTATCGCTCTCCATTACCTCTGGCTTCAACTTGATCGCCGCTGTTTCAGTCAATAAGTTGACCACGACTGACTCGACTCGCTCGTCGGCGGAGATAACTGATTTGACTCGGGATACGCATCCGCCGCACATCATCCCACTAACATCGAGGAGAACCGACGAGTCTTTAGGCTTCTGTTTCGGCGGTTGGAGAGACGACTCTTGCGACTGTGATCTGGTTTCCAGCGAATTGAATAAGACGAAACCAGGAGTTGACCAAGGCCGGTGATAGAAACCACCACGACAGCGTCGTTGGAGCATGTTAAATCGGTCAACTTTAAGTTTCGCGCCATTACTGAAAGAGAGCTTTGGCTGAGTCGACAGGGAGAATCTTAACAGATCCGCCGCCATTGCCATTGTATTTTCACAAAAGCAAGGAAAAGACGAACAAAACATTTGCTAAGAGATTTTAAGACGATGATCGTTAATGAATGTAGAGGAGGTAGATGAATATTTAAAGCATTATCCAATCATCCTTCGCCACGTAAGGTTACGCTATATCCGCAGTAGCTATTATTAAATTAACTTCACCGACCTTTCCGGTCAAACTCAAAACCGGCATGAGCGCCAGTCTTGCAAGTCCGGATCCAACATAAATCTTCAATTTACTTGTAATTCTAAAACGCTGCGTTTAAGTCCAAGCGAAAGAACCACATGGAAGGAGCAAATAATATCGTGCCACGTGGAAGAAATAAAAATCTCTCTTTTAAAATCCTGACCGGAAAAATACTCTCTTCATCCTTTTTTCAGCGAAGCTTTACAAAAAAAGCCTTTACCGAGCCTGACAAAGAGAGCCGGAAACCTAAATGCCTAAATTCAGTTGCCAAATCTTTATCACTATCTTCAACATTTATTCAAACGCGATTGGCACATTTTTTAGGTCGTCAAAGCCCAATCTCGTTCCTGTTGTTCCTCAAAATCTAATCCGTGACCTTCACGATTCAATCGTTTTAACCGCCGATAATTTATTGAATTTCCTTAAACAAAATCCAGTTTTCATAAATATCCTCTCCTTATCCTCTGAATTCCAAAGCTTATGCAATGACATAACTGATTTTACTATTATTATCCTCATTCATTTCACTCCCATTCGAAGTTTTTTGTGACTAATTCCGATTTTTATCACAGGTAATTACTCGCAGAAACAACTACATGAAGGTTAACAATTGTTCTCCGCTGTTAAATCACAATTTTGCGGCGGTTTTACCTAGTGATTCAGTGGCAGGGATCGTTGTTGCCAATGGAATCCTAAATTTCTTAAACATTTACAACACGTTGTTGGTTATAAGGCTGGTTTTGACTTGGTTCCCTAACTCTCCTCCAGCCATTGTTAGTCCCTTCAGGTACTTCCAATTAGCACCGCCGCCGCACTTCCGGCGGAGCTTCCGGTTGCTGGACAACCTCCGAGAAGAGCTTCATCTCCTTCTTTGTTCACCGCTTTAACCTCATCGCAGCAAAAGTGGGTGAGACGACTCAATGGCAACCGGTCCAAGAGCTTGAATAACTCCAAGAGTTAAATGGAGGTTCTTTTAACCTTTTTACTCTTTACTTTGATCACTGGAAATTCTTTTGCTACGAAAGTATCCAATTGAATTGATAAAATACTTGTTTTTTAGGGATAATTGAAATTTGAGATCTCTAGCAAAAGTTTTCACTGTTTGCTATCTATTTATGGTTCATCTCAAATGGCATCTATTTGTATTGTTTAATCAACTTTAGGAATAACTGGAATCAAATGTGATAAAAGAGGAACTCTGCTCCTAGAATCTGATTCCAAACAATTTAATATAGCTGCCTATGGCCAAATTTCCATGTATCTTTAGAACTTCTGGAAGGATTCCCAAGGGATATGGGTTTAAAGAGATTGCTCTTTACTTCAACCCTGTTCCTTAGCCGTTGGATTGGAATGTTTCTTGACCCGAAACTATATTCCAAATGGGTGATCCAGAGGGACAGTTCACATCTTGTGAAAACAAATGCAAATAGGAGATAAGATGAAGTGAGAAATGCTCAATAAGAAAAAGGGTTGTTCCTTCTGAAATTTGTTTTTATGAATGGAGTCCATAGCTACATCCAGGTCAAGCAGGTCTTCTTCATTTGAGAAATGGGTGGCGATTGTCTTGACCATTCTAGCCGTGGTTTCACCTCTTTATGTCAACCAGAAGCCGGTTATTGAACCAGAGCTTGAAGAGCAACCCATGGACTTGACTTCATGGTTGCGTCTGCTGCTTGTGCTACTGATCTTGGCTTTTGCTTTCTCACTGTACTTGAACCAAAGCTATACGAGGTTTGATCGTCATTGGATTAGGCCAGGCAGGTCTTCTTCTTATGAGAGACTGGTGGCAATAGGCTTGATCGTCTTAGGTGTTCTTTCACCTCTTTATATCAACAGGGGAACGGTGAGTGAGCTAGAACCTGATGAGCAGCCCATCAACTTTGCTTCTTGGTTGCCTCTACTGCTATTGATATTAATCTTGGCCATTGCTTTGTCGCTTTATTGTGACAAAAGCTTTACTAGATTTGATCCTAACTGGATTCATAGAGTTGGTGGTTCTTCTGCAGGAATCTTACTGATTCTTCTGGTTCTGGCATTTGTTTTGAAGTGTAAGGCTTCTGGACTGAGCTGAGAAGCTTGGTTGAAGTTGAACTTCTACCAACAGAAAGTGCTTTATTAAAGAACACAAGCAATGAAACTTATGTTTCTGTCTTTGTTAAAGAACACAAGCAATGGACGTCCTCGAGATGAAGATCCTCCGTTTCCTAGTTTCAGATTTCACACTATGTCCTTGTAAAAAGCAAGAATATACAGTTAACTGTTAAACTGGTGTTTTTCCTGTTCTGTACGATTGCCATAATCCTTGTTAGATTTAAACTCTTCTTATTGGGTTTGTTAAGAGAAAAACAGAGCATTGCACCACAAAGACAAGAGCTCTATAGTTGATTATATTGAATGTTTGCATGACCACATGAAAAAATTGGCAGAAACCATAATTATGCCGCGCTGAATCGATACAATAAGCCTTTTGCAAACTAAGAATGTATGGTTGGTCCATTTTCAATTCTCTAATACCACAGTAGAAAACTCAACATTCAATTTCAACTGAATTGTTTAGGCATATTTCTTTTCTAAATTGGAAAAGTACACCTGCCACTTACCACAATCTAGTCTCAAGGTGTGAATGTTGTTCAACAATGTCACCTAGTCAGTCACATATGTGTAAGATGCAGACCATAGATAATTTCATGGAGCAAATAGGCCTATCATCTCACCCTAAAATTGTGAATATAAAGAATTTTCAAACCTCAATCATATGAGATAACAAATTCAACTCTGATCTGATGAAGATGAAAATAGAAGACAAGCATAGACAATCAACTGAAAATACTCTCAATAATGGAGAAGAATTCTATTTCTTTAATTTGATCATAAAAACTATCCAAAATATTCCATCGACCATATACAGGTTTTGGATGATTGTGGATGTGCTAGGACACCAAAAAAGAGTGAGGTATATCTCTAAAGAGATTAGTTTGCTCTGGTGTCTGGTAATTATTTCATAGGTATGTTTCCAAAACTGAAGGCTTTGAATGGACAAGGAAAAGATGATACTTTTAGTTGTGAGTGTTGCTGTTATATAAGTCAAATGAATGAAGATGAGCCTGGCAAACTGATTAACCTTGTTATTCAAGTGTGCACTAATCAGCATAAACTATTGACAAAAGAATAGCGCAATGGAGCTTCTTGGGGTTCAAGCACATTGAGATGTTTTGATATTGTTGTCATTTTCAGTCCAATGATCTGCACCTGGGTGTTTGAGTGCCCGTTTAGAAACACATCTGTAATCTGCATGAAACACAAAAAAGTCCCTGATCAGAAACACATTTTGAACTGCAGAAATGCAAACATCTGGCATCAAACTATAAGATACTTTTCCATCTATTCAGATTTGCGTTTACTCTTTGGTTTTAGGTCAGTGCAACATGAGAATAAATAAGCATTCTATTCTGAAATTGCATATGCATAAAGTGACAGGGACAACTTTATGGGTTTCGTATAAATCATTATCTGAAACAGCAATACTGCGGCGAAAGGATGGTTTTTGGAGAGACAGAGAGAGAGCTTGGGAAGTGTACCTGTGTACATCCAAAGAGTTTTAACAGCCTCAGTGACAAGCAACTATCAACAATCAGCCCTAGTGCCTCATCTGTTAAACTGCGGCACCATGATAGGTCCAAACTCAACAATTTTCTTGAACATTTGGCAAGTGATAATGCAGTGTTCAACCCAACCTGTTACAAGTTGTTCAATGCCGTGAGTTAGTTTACCAAGTACCACTTACTTGCACATATGGAATGTGAGAAGCTGAAGGGGTCCAACACAGGCAACATCAATTTGACGGAATGAAAGCATATGGCATCAAGCAAAACAAAGTGAGCCAGACAGCAGATTTCGGAAATATAAATTCAACAATCATTGCCACATAATAGTTATCTTTGATGCAGGTAAAAAAAAAAAAAAAAGCCAAATGATCGATGAAGAAAGGTATGTTGATAACTTTGATTTCTCACCGAAACAATGTTATTCAGGGAAAGTTCAGTTAGAGAACTTCCAGAGGCTTCCAAGAAAGCTGCAATAGCTTCATCACTGTCATACAAATAGAAATAAGTCGTGTCAATCACAGGTACTGTATAATTGACAAGTACAGAATAACTAAACATGTGAAAACTAAATAAAACACAGTATCATAATGAATATATCATTAGCTACAGAGGCTACGAAATGAACAGTAGATATAGCAATAGAAGGAAACCTGAAACCATTGCGGCACAGTTTAAGCCTGTTAATTGATGGACAGCCATTGGCAAGATATTTCATTGATAAATCTGTCAAGTTACGCAAGTAAGAAAGGTCAAGGGAGCATAATCTGGAACAATTTTTCCCCACAAATTTGAGAGATATATCAGTCAATTCCCTGCATCTCAAAAACACCATTGTTACAAAAACTGATCCTAGATTATAGAAACATATATATAAAAAAAGTGTTAGAGTTCCCGTGTGACTTTTAAAATAATTAGAATGATCTCAGAGAACTCACACACAATTAGCGAAAACAAGTTCTTTCATATTTTTTCCACATGCTTCAACCATTCCAATGACAAAATCATCACAAACAGTCTGAATTCCAGCCAATGACAGCACTTCCAGACATTTAAGCTTCTTCAGTGTAGGCAATACAACCATGGCTTCTATATTGTGACATTCATCTAAATAAAGCTCTCTTAAGGTGGATTCAAAACAGCTAGCTAGATTGTTGATGCCAGCAGATGTGAGAAGGGAGCACTGGCTCAGATTTATTGATTGCAGAGTGGGTGCAGACATTGCAAGTGCATTTAGACCTTTGTCAGACAAACGATATGCACCATTTAGAGACAAGGTAACTAAAGCGGGAAGGCTTTTTGTTGAACGAGCTAAGGTGTCTTCTAACACATAATCAGGCATGCATGACCCGCACAAGTCAAGCTGCAGCACCTGCTTCCAGAAATCAAAAACATCATAAATGACTGATAGCCAGGTACCAAGTCTAAATAAGCATATACCAATAAACATGTGCAAAAAACTCAGTTTGGAATTACTCTAAAATGTCCTAGTTTGTTTCTTAGATCTATATAGTGAATGCCAAAACAAAAACGAAGTTGTACTCTTTCGATTACAATTGTTTCCCCGTTATTTTAAACCTTTCACAAATTACAACCAACGCAAAATTTTCGGAAGAAAAATAGCTCTCCACTTATACGACTTACAGCTACAGGCATGACAACAAAGTCAATAACAAACTTCACAGCTAAAACCAAATAATCCCTCAAGTCAATTGATGATATGCTAATGTTGCATTGCAGACATGAAGAGAAAGGGAAAAATTTGCCAATTCAAAAGGGACATAGAACAAAATGTATGAAACGTCACTTACAATCAAGTTCTTAGTATCACAACAGCCAAATATCTCGGTGAATTCGTCTTCAGTTACTCGTGAACAGTCATTCACTCGTATCTCTGTTGGTGATCCGCTAGCAAGAAGTTCCAAAAAATGAGCATCCATTTTCCTATAATCACACACCAACTGGCTAAGCTTATGCCTTAGCATATCAGGAACATGCTGGAGTGATACCATTGCCTCGGCATTCTTTGCAAGAGTACGGAAGCTAAGGTCCAGCAACGACGGAACCTCAAGAGCCATAAAAGAGGATACTTTATTATTCTTAGGTACCCATTTGAACTCTGATCTCAATCCATCACTAGAGTACTTCTTTCTGTCAGTTGCACTCGAATTTCGGGTTTTGATCATCTCCGTTGCCATACCAAAAGGACTTTGTAAGTCATCTGCTTTATCCTCCTCATCAACAACAACATTCTTCAAAGCTCCATCCTTGTCTGTCTTAGTAGAAGATTTGAAAAGGTCCCCTTCAGAATCAACTTCATGTGCAAGCCTTTGAGCAAATTTTCTAGCAATCTCATGGTGCCTTCTTGATTCTTCCCTTTTTCTTGAGACATAAAAATCATCCATTTCATCATACCCTTTATAACTAACCTCCTCTACAACACGATCAATAATAGGATTAACAGTATTAGCACTTCCCAAAAATTCAATTTCAGCATAATTTTGCTTCTCTGCTTCAACTTGTGGATCCAAAATTGAAAACCAGCTATCTATCTCCGTCGGCATCATTCTCAACTTAAGATCAAGATTCAGTTTTTCTTCTTGATCGTCAAACCCATCTAATTTTGCTTTTCCTTTTTCTTCAACAGAAAATCTCCTCTTTTTACTTGAAGAACCAACGATTTCAACATCTGGGTATCTTTCCATTCTCTTCGAATCAACACCAAGAACAACACTCTCTGTTTGTTTCTCGGGAAATCCAAAATCAACTTCCTCTGGCTGCAGATTAAGATCGTAATTGAATGTTGGCTGCTGCCTATTAAAACCGGTAGTTTCTCCTTCGCTTTTTTCCTTGTTGTTTTCTTCACTTCCTCCCAAAATCCCTTCATTTTCCCGAGAATCAAATTTCTCGAAAACCCATACATCATCCATCCCTGGTTTCTCCTTCTTCTTCGATATTCAATATTAAAAAAAATGTAAAAAAAAGCAAAAGAAGAAGAAACCCAGTATCAAAAACCAAGCGCCTTATATAGCGCCCGCGAAAATTTTAACTGAAATTTTGGGGTTTCGTGCTTTAATCTCTGCAAGAAACCTTAGACACGAAGCCAGAGGTATTTTAAGTTTGTTCTTAAGACACTATTAATTACTACTACTATTATATTACAATAATAATAATAATAATAATTGAGACAAAAAGCTGTTTTGTTGGGGGTTTCTGATGGATGCCAAGGAATTTGATTTTTGATCGGACGGTGGAGATTGGTCGTAGGTTTGATATCAGTCAAATTTTGCGAAAAGTTAAATGCTGCAATTCAATTTCACATATTTGATGGGGAAAGTTGAGGGAAGGTGAGACGAAGTTTATATGGAAATGAGATTGAGAAGATGATGGATGGGAAATGGCCCCAACAAATATTAAAATTAAAGGGAAAATAATAAAGATAAAATGTTGAAAAAGAATTGCCTTTGCCCTTTGTCTAGTAGGTTTAAGATAGGCATTATAACTTTATGAGTCACATGGCACTTGGGGGTACTCATTAAAAGCCAAATGTAAAACTAGACTTTTTGGTTTCACCAACCCAATTATTATATATAAATCAAAGCTCTCTCAATTTCCATGCATTTGTTTCTTTATCTTTATTACTACATGAAATTAGAGAAATGTAAAGATTAATCAAACATTTTATAAAAAAAAAAATTACAATTTGAAATTTTAAAAATATTATAGATTTTGAGGTTTGAATTTTAAATATAAATTCTTTAATTATTATTTTGAAAATTTTTAATTAAGGGTATTCTCTTCAAAAAAAAAAAAAAAAACATGTTATTCTTACAATGTTTTTTTTTTTTTTTAAGTCAAAGTAAATAAAATGTTTAATCTTTTATATCAAAATAAGATATATTATATTTGATAATTTAAAACAGATGATTACAGATCATGTATTCAAAATGACACTAATAAATACTCATAGACAATACTTAAAACCTCTTTGTCAATTAAAACGAACCTAATCAGTTAACAAAATACTTTCTTTTTTTTTTCATATTAAAAAGAAGAGCCGTGGATATGTTGACTTTTTAATTTGAGAAGGAATGACCACTAAAACAGAACTGGACATGTTTTGTCCTTTCTAGTTTCAGAGTTAATTAAATATATATATATATATATTTTTCAAGTGGATGCTGAATAAATTACACAATCATTGGAAACAGTATTATTTGCCATTTGATGTGTTGATCCTGCATCTAGATTAGGATTGAAGATCCAAAAAGGATAAGAAAGAGACAATCGCTCATTGAAGTTTTCAGATTGATTTAATTGAAATAGAAATGTAACTTGTAAGATCTAACAAAATCCTGTTTGAGCCTTAGAGTTATCATAGGATTAAACGGCAGATATTAAAAGTATATCAATCCAAAGAAATCATCGGTAGGGGAGTGATGAAAAGGAAATTTAGCTGCTGAAAAGCCCCTTTCACATCTTTTCAAGTCATGATAAACAATATACACCATTCCAAGTGAAAAAGATAATTGTCATTCCAAGTTGGTTCAATCAATTTGAAATTTTACACATGAAACTGGGGAAATCAATGGTGGAACGTGTGGATGCGCTCAATATGAAAAAGCTAATCAATAAAATTATGATAAAACCAAAAAACACTAGAGAGGCCGAGCTATTTAAGACAATGGACTGAAACAGGCCTCAGAATGAGCAATCAGGTGGAAATCGGTTCAGATACTATGATCATAACCCGAAGGCATATGCCGCAGCACTGAAAGCTGTAACAGCGTAAAGCCACATATGACCAGGTTGAGGTGAATCATCAGCACCGCTGCATTCATCATTGGCACCACTAAAGCATCCAGGTCTTGTAATTTTAGCCACACCTCCTTGTAGAACAAAGCTACTGTTTTGCTTACCACTGCTGAACAGCACACACCAGAAATAGGGAGCCCCGCCATCTATGCCAGTCACAGCAGCCCCAACTTCAGTGTGGTTCTTATTGTAAAGAATTTCCAAACTCTTCTCGTTTTTCATCAACATTGAGAATGCTTCAGGAGGCTCAACATATTTGGATTGGCATCCAAGTAAACGGCCAGTGATTGGAGAGAGGGTTGAGGCATCAACACCACAATTGGGAGCAAAAGTTTCGGCAAATTCAGAATCAGTAGGCTTCTTGGCATCAGGCCCTCCTACAGCATTACAATCACCTTGGTATGCTTTTATATATTGCAAAGCAATGCAGGCCAGGCCTGGGTTGTCAGTGAGAGATGATGACTTGTGCGCTGTCCTATTGGCATTAAGCACAGCCACCAACTCATCAGCAGGGTTATCAGTTACTTTGGCTACAATTGAACAGTTCAATTGTTAGGGCTCAAGAATAATGATACAATCAGATCATAAACTTAAAGCATAAAAACAGACACAAAAATTTGAATATTAAAAGGAGACCATACTAGAGCACTTTAACAGATTGAAGAAATGCATACCTACATTCTTTTAAATAATCCATTTTGTATACTTGGTTTATACACCATGGATATATGGTTACTGACAATAATCAGTTTTTGTTCCGTAAGTAAAAAAATGACAATAAAAGTGACAGATGCAAGTTCTTGAAGCAAAAAAGAAATCCTATTACATGAAGTGAGTAATACCAGCATGAAGGAACCAATACCAAATAACCTACAAAATTAAAAAAAAAAAAAGTTCTATTCTTCATGGGTTGATGCAAGGAAAAATTGATACTAAAAGGATGTGGTACTCGTTGGATTTTATACTGAGGATGTCTTAAAGTTTATACTCCTCGGTGGTTTGTTCAGCTAAAATTTGGCATTATGATGGTGACCAGAGACATGTAACCAGAATAGCAAATACAATTAGGTCTAAAGTTATGCCCTCTTTTAGCGTATTCTGAAGGGAGGGATCAAATGTAATATGAAGGTCCTCAGGATGTTTAACTTCACATTGACACTGTAAAGTTGAAGACGTTTTATCATGCCTCATAGATGTTGATAGGGGAGAAAGATTGGAAACTACATAGCTTTCTATTCTTGGTGCATTGCTTAGTTTCAGCACCTGTTGTGCTCACTTGGGCAATTTACTCTTCTCTCTTCTACAAGAGATGTTTATTCCTTATCATACATAAGCCTGACGCATCTCAGGATCAAAGATTTACATCCGGGTTTATATCATGGCTAGAACTTTGTATTGTCAAATGAAATCAATATGACGAGTTCTTTATTACTATAAATTCAGATTTAGATGTTCACAGATGCCAAATCCTATGTGGAATAGTATTCGAAAATTTAATCATCCAGTTGACAATTCTACATCAGACTCCTTAAACACAAACATATGCTCATAACAACCAGCATCTCGCTGATGTGAAACAATAGAATTCACAAAATATAAGAAGCCTTTGGACTTAAAACACTTATCGGATGGATCAACTCCAATTCAATCTCAAGCTTCCATATCAGATAACAGCAACACATCTCAACTTTCTAAATAATATACATTAGTAATACTTAGGATAATTATTGAATGTAGATAATTCTTGTATATATCACATTCACTCTCCTTGCACAAAATACCTACAAGCTTAGGATCACTTTCTAGCCGCCACAGTCCTTAAGAAGTCAACCAACTATATGAAGGACTAAAACCAGAAACAATAGCAAATAAGTCGACCAACAGAAGACACAGCATTAAACAGGAGATCCAGCAAAAAAAGAAAACTCAAGAAAAACCAACTGCTTTAAACAAAAACTAAGTCAAATCAAAATGGGCAATCATAAAAGTTTAGAACTGCAGTGCCTGAGATTCAGATCAATACTGTAGCCTGCCAACTTACAAATAACAGCTGCATTTGGAAAATGTGAAAGAAACCCAAAAATAAAAATAGACAAAGACATACTTTTATAGTTATGAAGCAGATCAATCACTTTCTAGAACCAAATTCTCAATTCCAAACAAAAAAAAAACACATATACATTGCACAAAGTCATTTCATTTCACCATGCAAAATAAGTTTCAAAAAAACTCTTCATTTTTTTTCCTTTTTGGAACAATAGCTAAAGCTGGATAAGAGAAAGGAAAAGGGAGGGAGACTTACTTTGAGTATCGGCAGAAACAGAGAGGAAAAGAAAAGGAGAGAAAAGAAGCCATAAAGCCATTGCAATTGCCATTGTTTTTTTTTTTTTTTTTTTTTTCTGTTGCCGTGAAGAGTAACTCAAGACATAAGGAAGAAAGAGAGGTGGAAGAGAAAAGATGAAACAGAGGGAATAGTCAGTAAAATGTCCACTTCCTATCGGTTGCTTAACAACTCAATGGGCTACTCTGTTGGTCTTTTATTTGCCGACACACCACCATCCCATTTCTAATGTCCAACCCGAATCTATTGGGCAACCAAAGAAATACAAAATACGATTTTTTTTTCTTGATAAAAAATTGTTACAAGAATTCTCTTTTTTTTTCCCCCTACCCAATGCAATATAAGGTCCCATTTAACTAAAAGCTCATATATAAAAGCCTATCATTGTTAAGTAGTTTATCAATATTAGCATTTAAAAATATTATTATTTTACTTAAAATAAGAAAAATCATAGCTATTAAATCTAGAAGACAAATGCATGTGAGGAAAGCAATGTTTTAAAGCCAATTATTTTGGTTCCTAAATTATTTTATTATTGTAGACCCCAAAACACGTTTAAGCCTAATTACTATCTTAATATTTTAAAACATTAATAAGAAGACGTAAACCAATTAAACAAAGGTTTAAAATGATGTGGCGACCAATTTGTTTTTATAATAAAATTGCAAGGTTAAATTTGTGATTTTCTAACAATAATAGAGACAAACTGAAGGATGATAAGACTTCCAGTTTCAATCCGAACAAATCTGCCTACGTGCAGAAAATGGCCACAATTAGCGCCTACCCTCTCCTTTCCAACTTCACTGCTAAACCCAAGTGATTCTCGAGGGTGACAAGGTGCGCCGTATAAGATTCAAAGGTCCCAGGCAACAGTTTTAATATGAGATGATAATTGAATTTCTTTGGGACCATAAGTTTAAAAAAATTTTCTTAGAACTTGCTACAGAATGCTACTACCAGAATCTGATTATAGGGTTTCAACAGGGGAAGCACCCCCCCCCCCCCGGGCATCGTCCCCGTTGTAATTCCGTCTGTCTGCAAAAATATGATAGAACAACCAATATAGTGAATATAAAAAACATTGATAGTAATTTATTACGCCGTTACACAAGGACCAGATAGATCAAGTACCTATATATATTCATATATTCATATATCCAAAACAAACAGGAGGCGACGATGACCATTTTACATACAAAGAGAGCAGATCATGACAAAATACCAAGCTGTTGTTGCTGCCAATAATTTGAACTGACATCCACTTCCAAAGGGAAATCAAATTCTTCCATCACATTCACAATCATGCAGGTGACAAGCTACTAAAAATACGCTTCAAACTTGGACAAACTGCACGTAACCTCCCCATGCTTATTGAGCAAATCTATCAGCCACCGGATAATAAACATTTTTGAACTGGATTAGTTTTTCTCTTTCTCCAGAAAAATATAGAAGATTCAAGCAGAAGGGTCATTGAACAAAATTTAAACATTATATGAAATTGCAAAGAAGGAAACTTCAACCTATTATTGTAACACAATATAAGCTAAGCACTTAACAAGTAGAGCAAATAAATGGCAGCAAAAAAGGAGGCAAAACAAAATAATGCTCTCACCTTCGGACAAAAGCGGACATCCAAAGTCTCCAGCATGCTACATTGTGATATAGCGGTTTCAACTGCTTCTTCCATAATGTTGCAAGACTTACAAGACCAATAGGCAAAAGCAAAAAGAAAACAGCATCAAGTCAGAATCTCACAGCCATACACTAACCATAAGGATCGGATTGAGACACACACTACGTATATGTTTGTGTAGCAAAATGATCAAAATGACTTTGCATGAAGGAAACAGGAAATTGACAGACGATTTGAGACCAGAAGGCCAAAACCCTAAAGATAACTTTTACATCAAAGCAAGAAAGGTAGGTTTACTACATCAGGTAACACACACAATGTTTGCAAAGATAAGTCAGTATAGAACCTATCTTTAACTACTATCAAACCGTCAGAGAATGAAAGACCTTTTACGACTCATTAGCTGCTTCCTAGAACACATACCAAAATACACAGAATATAACTTCTTCACGACCCACTACATATATCAATGGAACTACCTATGCATGTCAGCCTTTTAACAAAAAAATCAGTCACAAAAGCCTAGGTAGTAAAAACCAAGCATATTCAAGAATACACTCCCACTAGAAAGGCACCAGAACACAGGTCCAAAAAAAGGACCTAAAAATTAAACATCTAGGACAGCCAAACTTCAAAACTTCCAAGGAGCAACTGATAAAACAAAAAAGAAACCATAACCATACCTGAAGAAAGAGACTAGTCAGTTTAGGACACCCAAGCTTCAAAACTTCTAAAGAGCAACAATTGCTGAATATAAGATATAGGCAGAAAAATTTAGAAGGTAATAGATGAAAAAAAAAAAAAACCATAACCATAAAAAGGACTTTATCCATACCTTAGATTAAGAAAGGACAAGTTGAAACAAGCAAGATCAACTTCCTTTAAATTGGCTGACAAAGAAAGATTTAGGGATGACAAATGGAAACATCTTGCTGCTGGAGGGATGAGCACTTTCCTAATACTTGGACAACCTACGCAGTTGAGGTTCTGCAGTAAACGATTCGCTTGCTCAACTGGCTCATTGATGTTCTCAAAACAAAACATGCTAGAATCATTATGCACACTAAGCGACTCAAATTGACCACCATTAGCACCCCAATTCAGGTCATGCATATTTATACATCCATTCAAGCTCAAATGGGTAAGATGCGTGCAATATGCAAGAAGCTCCTCTATGGCAGATTGGCACAGGGTACCATATGACAAGTCCAAATCCCTGAGTTCTCGTAAAGCACCTTCCTTGTAAAGAGGCTCCAATGATGAGTCAGCCAGATATTTGCATGCTTGTAATTTTAGCACCTAAAAGAAGCAAAGGAAAATTGAGCAAAAGAACATTGCAGGAAATAATGAAAACATGCAGTATTGGAAACACTGAAAGCTTAAACCAGACAATTTACCAGAATGTGAAATTTTCTTAAACTTGCTTTAATGATATAAGAAGAAGCAACACAATGGATGTTATGAGAGAAAATTCTCCACACAAGGGGCTAAAATGGCATTAGCATTTTATATCAAAATAATGAATCATTAAGAGTAAAAACAAATGCAACATTATGCATTCATCAAGTACATGTAGTAGAATCAACTGAACATGAAATAACACCAATATGCCACGTATGGCTAATCATGCTTATTTATCAAGGATTTCAAAGTTACCTTCAGCTGCAAACAAGACATAAAAACTGGCTGCAAATTTGTCAAAAAGGTATATGACAAATCAAGTGTTGTTAAATTCGGAAGCCAGCGCAAAGCGTAAAGACCATCAGAACCAATAGATGGGCATGACATCAATATTAATGACACGATCAGCGAGCAGGAAGCAGTGGTAGCAGATAAGCAATCATCCTTAAGTTGGCTGCACATAAAATTGAATAAACGCGTCAGCCATAGGCCAGAGTAAAGTATCATAAAAAGAAGGTAGAGCAATTGCAACAAACCAGCAGAAGGAAGCATCCAGAGACATCAATAGTGGACAATTTATGGATGCTTCAGATAAGACACCACATCCTTTCAACTCAAGTGACACCATATATGGAGCATCAATTCTGAGTGTGTTCAATTTGGGGCATATTCCAAGATTAAGCGACCGAAGAGCAGCCTAAAAGGAGGAAAATTCTTCAGGTTTTACATTTTTATAAGAGCAAGAAATTGCATGCATCAATTAGTCAATAATATAAAAGCAAATTAATCTCAGAGAAGTCTTGACTCTAAACTTACAGGATAAAATGACGCTCTTTCCAGATGATCACAACCATCTAAGCAAATTTTCTCAAGACAAGGACATGCAAGATCTAGAGTAGTAATAGCACGACAACCAACCAGAGAAAGACTGACTAAAGATGTACTGGAGAACTGCACTGCTGTCAAGCTCTGGTCAAAATAAAAACAATAAATTGTCAGAAAGCACAGCAATGCAGGAACTGAGGAGCTATATTTATTTAATAGTACCAAAAACAATCAAAGAGTATTGGTAAGTAATAATAGATGCAGACCAGTAATCAGACAGACAAGTCTATGGTGCCAATTGAAGTGACCAAAGAGCTGCGATGAAGCTAATATTATACATCTCTATCATCTTATGCCTATTTTATCACCCAATCTTTGAATGCCCCCTAGAAAGGACTTTATCCATACACATACATGATAAGTGAGAAATGGTTCAATACACACAGAACATATTCACAAACCTCGCAGTTATCCAGAACCAATGATTTTAGCATAGGGCAACCACCACCGTCGCTAAAGACAGTGCAAATAGAGTTTGTCAAAGATGCACAATCTGTAAGGTCTACTTCTTGCAAACATTGACATTGCAGTGCCAATGTTGTCAAATTTTCCTGCTTCTGCAACACTAATTTCTGCATTTTCATGAAATAAACACTATGAATTCAAACTCTTATTAACAACCAATATAGTAACAACAGCAACCAAATAGTGCATCAAAAAAAATACTTGAAGTGAATTTGAACTGATGTTAATGCGATGGAGAGCAGCACAATTGGACACCGTTATAGATGATAGCTTGAAACATTGTACATTCAGGTCAGCAAATCTGCATGGAAAAAATTATAGATTATTATAGATAAAAAAAGATGAGAGGCGTGAAAAAGAAATGTGAAAATCCAATTGAAAAACAATGAGGCAATCTTTTTGGGTTAGGCAAAAAAAGGGAAGGGGAATGAAATGGAATAACAGTATACTTTCGACAATGAACCAGTCGAATTTTCTGCAAATGAGGAAGATCCAATGACACCGATGTTAACATGTGGCAACTATCAAGCTCCAACTCCTGCAATAGATAACAGAATCAGAATGGGCAGCTAGAAGTTTTTAATAGAGACCGCAATGACATCCAGGTAACAACAATATATACGAGAAAAAAGATTCAAACCTCCAACAAAGAACTGTGAGATATTGCAGCCATTGAGGCCGAGGTGATACCCTCACAGTTATCAAGCTTAAGAACCGTTAACATTGGCAGCCTTACAGACTTCATAGAAAAGCAAAGGCATCAAATTACACCTTACCCCAAAAAGCAGCACTTTTTAGAACTAAATTTACAATTTGCATGAACTGACCTCAAGTGATATGTTAGGACAATATGAAGAATTTAGAACATGGAGACTGGCACAAGTGAGAGCTATTTCACGCAATGTTTCATCACTAACACAAGAACAATTTGACATGTCCAAAGACTCTAATTGGGGGCAAGAAGTTACTGCCGAACGAATTGCTGCATCTGTAAGTTTGTGGCATGCACTAATGTCAAGCAGGTGTAAAACAGGGCAATTAAGAGCCGCCTGTGCCATATTACTACGTTTCAAAGACAAACTTTTTAGTTGTGGGCACCTGCAAAAGATCAGACTTCAGCATAAAGAATGACCAGATTGACGTCAACGTATAGTTAACATTCAAATCAAGCTTTTGTTTCACCTGATTGATATACGCATCACACGGCATTTTGTTACTTTCAGATCACACAATCGATCATGGTTAATAGATATCTCTTGAACAGCATTGCCAAGGATAGCATCATTGACATCCAAACTCCTTAACATACTACACTCTGCCAATGCATGGAAAAAAGCATCCCCTAGTTGACCCTTTCCCAATGTTAAAGCCTCGAGATTTCTACCAATCAGAAAATTCATATGAATTAACAGCAGGCACAATAAATTCATTTGATTAGAAGAACATAAAATATGATGACAAAATATTACCGTAATGAAGAGACAGCTTTCATAACGAGCAGGTGGATATTAGGAGTGCCACTGAGATTCACTTCAGTGGCATTTGGATATCGTTGACACATGTCCTCAACTGCAAAATCAAAATGCAATCTTATAGCAGTTTGAAATCCAATTTCATTTGTCTCACAAAATAATATAATGAACAAACAAATCAATTGAAAATGACGTATTTATGATGATCTGTAGCATATGACATAAATAGTCTCTTGCATAGGAGCCAGCACCAAACATAGCAGTTCTCAATACATAAAAGATCAAAGGACAACTTATATATAATTGCACACTCACACAGTTTAAACCAAATGAAGAACTAAGCAAAGATATAATGCAAATATAAGACTTACATTGTTCAAGAGATACATTCCGGTTTTCAAAATTCAGACACCTCCAAAAATCCTCATGAGCACTAGCTGCTCGCCACTGCCTACAAACCATAGCAGCATGACAAAGATTACCATGGTCCAAGAAAGAGAACACCTGAAAATAGGAAAAACAAAAGGTTCAATAAAATGGAACAATATACAAAATTATATATACTAAAATAAAAGCGTAATAGTTCAAACTACATACCATATGCAATAAGTCATCGGTCAGATCCATTCGAACTTCAAAATCTTCAGCTCTCAAACCAGCCTCATCTTCATCATCTTTCCCACCATTACCGTCAAAAGGACGTCCGTCACTCCCATTATTCAACATGAAATTGTGATAAAATACCCCATTATTAGATGAATTTGATGATCCTTGGTTAATATTAAAATCTCTCCCTGAAAAGGAGCAAGACGTGCCCTCACTGCAGTGAAAATTTTCCAGAATAAGTATGAGAAAAGTTAAATTTCTTGATTAAATTTGTTTATAGTTGTCCAGTTGACTCACCGAAAACCGGAGTAGACTTTGGCCCGCTTATGGTGCCAATCGTGGTGGTCACAATCTTGAACAGCAGTTGAGGCGGAGGCGCTAGTCTCACCCTCGGAAGGACGTGAGCAGCCCATCGAAGGGTGCCACATAGCATCATCCCAATTCCCACCGCCTCTCATGGCGGTGACCATTTCTTCAAACAACAGCAGCGTCTGATCTCCTGGCCTTTGACTGTTTAGGGTTCTGGCTAGAGTTGAGGAAAATCGAGCTGGGGCGACAGTGACAGTTGTGGGGGCTTCTTCTTCTTCTTCTTCCTCATGATCATCGTCGTCGTCATTTACAATATTTCCCTCAAAGTCGTCGACATTTGCCAAAAAAACTTCCTTCATGGTTCCTTCCCGTTGATTATCGTCTTCTTCGTCGTCGATAAAGCACAGGCAGCACCAAATCCTCATGCACCCGGGTCAAAAACCCCACCCCTACCCAAAAAACAAAAAAGAAAACCCTAGCTCACGATCCAGCACATTCCATTTACCAAAAAACGAAAAAACCCTAAATTTAATGAAGAAGAACAAAAAAGCTCCGGCCTTTCGGGAACCCTATAATTTTTTCAAGAAAAGAAAATTCGATTTTGAAACTTAAATATTTTTTAAATTTCAGAGAAGAATCGATCGATACATACAAAAACACAAACAAATAGAGAAAAACTGTAAATTTTACACACACACACACAGAGAGAGAGAGAGAGAGAAGGAGAGACAAGACCGGATCTGATCGGATCTCAAGAGCTGATAGTTGTTAAGGATACTTACTCTTTTCTTTTCTTTTTTTTTTCTAGGAAGCTTGAAAAAAAGAGACCGGCGTTAATGCTAATGGGTGAAATAATCCGAGAATTCGTGCTTTTATGGGAAAATTTTTTTCTTTACTTTTCCTTTTCTTTCTCTTCAATTTTTTTCCCCTCTTTTCTGGTCTTATTATACAAAAAACGAAACGAAAGGGAAAATTTTCGGGTTGCCTTGCCGTTACGAGAGATGGCACGACACCGTTTCATTGATTTATGGTAAATAATATTATTGACCCAAAAAAAAAACTAAACTCGTGTTTTTTGTGAAGACTGGGGCATTGACTAGAAATCACTTTTTCTGAAGTTATGGGTGGATTTGAAATGTGAAATCACACGTGCAAAACGACTTTTGGGTTCAATTTTTGCTTGGTATTAGTATTATTGGTATTGATTTGTGTTCTATCCATATTCCAATTACAAAATTTAATGAAACCATTCATCAATGAAGATTTTACTGAAATATATGATAAATGAAGATTTTAATTTTTCAGATAATAAATAAATGAGATAATTAATAATATTATTTTTAAAAATTTTAGGATATTTTATTAAATTAAACTTAATTTTGATCATAAATAATAATTTCAAAAATACGTAAAAAGATAAAAGTAGGCAAAAAAAATTTATTTGAGATCTTTTAATATTTGATAATTATTTTAAATTTTGATTAATGTGAAATCAAATAATATTGAATCTTATAAAAAAAATAAATTCACTCAAATTTATTTTTTTTATTTATAAAATTTGAAATCAATATATTACTTAAAATAAATTGAATTTCTTACTATTTGGATCGATAAATAACCAATAGACAGAGATTATTGCTGTTTGACTTCCGAACTTTCAAATCTAGGAACTAGGAACAGCAAACCTACTTTGTTCTTGCCCAAATATCAATGTGGGACTTTAAATGTGACTTACTCATATCTAATGCCCTAATGTGGTGTCGTTTTATGTTTAAGCATCGTCCTCATCACTTGCAAAAATATATGTATATTTCATTTTATTTTTCAAATTTAAAAATATCTTGTTTCCTTTTTATTGTTATTATTATTTTTTTGAATTTTGTTGATGAACACTTTGTACACTTTTTAATGTTATTGTATTAAGTAAATTATTATTTTAATATTATTAAAATTTATTGAAGTAATTACTAATTATTGTATTTAATATAATACATTATTAATGTAATTAACTTTAATTCTTAAAAGCAATCTTTAGTAAAATCTTTATTTTTATATTTTAAATTATTAAAAATTTTAAATTTTAATTAGTGAGATCAAAATTTTAATATTATATTAAATGAAGTAAATTATTTTCATGGTCTTTAAATTTTGAAATGAATATCATTTTGATTTTTAAATTTTAAAAAATAACATATTAATCCTTATATTTTAATAATAATAATAAAATAGTTATTTCATTAAAAAACCGTTAATGCAATCATTAAACAATTTTAAATAAAATTTGCAAAAAAATATATAAGGATACAACTTTTTTACATGTTACAGTTATAATAAAAATTTACTAGAAGAAAATACTGATAATTTTGATAATTATATAAAAATAAAAACCTTTTATTTTTAATTTTATTATTAAATATTTTTTGGATTCAGTTTTAAGATAAAAAAAAAAACTATATCCTGTAAACAAAAATTACCCATTTATTTTCAAATTTATTTGTTGGTTGGTTAAAACATTCAATTATACATATCATAGTATACTTGTCCTTTATTTTATAATATTTCTTCCAAAGTCAAGCTTTTTAATTATAAAATATTAGTATAAAAATTTCAATAAAATATTATAAATTTCACACAATCACTTATTAATAGAAAATTATAATTTTAATTATTGAAATACAACTAGGGACTTTCATAAACTGAATCAAATTTAGATAATATTTTCAGGTCATATTTGATATACAACATTATGATAGAATAAGATAATATGATATTGTTAATAAAATTAGATTAAATAAAACCACTTTATTTATATTTTATATTTGATATGTGCAATGATTAAGATAGGATAATTTATTTATTAGTAAAAATTATCATTTTTTTAATTTTATACAATTTAAATTATTGATAAAATTTTAAATGTATAATAGAACATATAAATTTAATATTATGAATTAAAAATAATTTTTTTCATTTTGAGATGATTGAATTATCTTATCCCAAGTGAATGATAGTTCTTCTTATAATTATATCCATTTTAATTAAATACAAACTAAATATAATATAAAATAATTATCATACTATCATATCCATCATCTTATGTAATATACACAAAACATATCTTTAAAATCTCAATTAAGATCCATCGATTATAAATATGAATAAACTCATTTTATTATTAAAATTAAAATATTAAAAATATTTTTATATTTTTAAATATATTTTAAAATGAAAACTAAATATAAAAATTTTATTAATAAAATAATAATTTGATTGAGTTAAGTATAAACTTTAAAAATCATGTATAAAATTTAATTTAAATTGAGTCTTATTTGTAAATCTGATTGACAACTCAATTTATAAGTAAATTTAATTGTAACTTAACAAAATTTTTATTGAAAAAATAAAAAATATTAATTGATTTAAAAATTAAAATTCCAAAAATAACAATAAAGAAACAAAAAATTAATGTTCCTAAAAAATAAATTTTATCAATTTTAATTTTTTTCATAATCATTATTTTATTTCCAACCTTAATCTTATAATATCATTAAGCCATTATCCTATTTTGTAATTTTTTTATAATGCTCATTTAACAAACTAATTGATAGAAAAATTATTTCATTACTATCATTAAAATATAGGGTTAATATATTGCTTTATAAAATTTATAGACCAAAAAAATATATTTATTTCAAAATTTAGAGACAGTAAAAGTTGTTTACTCTATTGATTTTTTTAATATTTTAATTTTAAAATAAAAAATTTTAAATTTTAAAATATCAAATTAATTAAATATCATTTTTTTAAGGAAATGTACCAAAGAACTGAAATAAACTTCAGTTTTTATTTTTTTTAATTATTATCGTAACTTAACTTTTTGGCCCTTCGCTGGAAAAAAATTTTTTTTGCCCTACACGGTGAACAGTTCACGCATTTATTGCACGGTAGAGTGCGCCATTCACTGACACGATTTACACCATTGTGTATTACAGTAGCATTATTGTACCTTCCGTACAAGCGATGCTCTGGTCATTTTTGTAGCAGAGTAAATGTAAACTTGTTGAAAAGTTAAAGATTTCAATCGTACACGTGGCAAATTCCCAACGTTTCAAGATTGGATTGTGATAATCGGACGAACCTGGATTAGTCAAGTGCATTCCATCAGTCATCTGCTTGCAAGTTTACTCAAAGTAGTGGTCCTAGCATCTGGGACCACTCAACTGACCTATGGTATAGGCAAGTAGCTGATTGAAAGTTAAAAATCTGTAACTTTTTTAGTTTTAAATTAATAAAAAATATATTTTTTTTATTTTGACCATTACCACATGAGCAGTCCACCTAAATTCAACAAAAATTTTAAACTATAGTATTTTATCAATAAATTACGTTATTATTGATATTTAATAAATTTATTTATATAAAATTAGTAATAATTAAAAGTCGACATATTATTATGTTAACTTTTTTATTTGTTGAAAATTATAAAATTAGAGTTGGTGAATCCTCCTTTCTAATCCTGTATATTGGTCAATTAGACACTGTGGAAGAATAGCATAATTAAGCTTAAGAATGTTTTTGGAGGATTTAGTTAATGTATCAACGCAAATGTATACATACATAATTGAAATGATTATGTTTTATTTTTTTGCTGATAATGAACTAAATTATTATGCTTGTGTTAGACAATTTTATGTGTTTATAGTAAATTTGAAAGGATTATTATTTCATAAAGTATGGTCTTTAATAATAATTTATGATTCCAATTACTTTTTTTTAATAATTACTAGTAGCAAAATGAAATTTAAATTATATTTCATTTTTTTACTATTGATAAAAAAAGACGAGCCTCTAATATAATTAAATTGATTCATATAATTATTTTTAAAATATAATTTCAATAAGTTTATAACTTTTTATTCGGTATTTTTTATAAAAATATATTTTTTTAAAGCTAAGAGATTTTATTATTATTAAAACTATAGAATATATTTTTCATATACTATTTAAAAAAAAAAAACGTAGATCCAAGCTAATGGAAAATGTGTATGAACGCATGCGTGTATGAGGTATGGGATCATGTAAATATGTGTTTAGTATATAATAATTACTTTGATATCTATACTAATAATAAAACTCTTGATGAGTTTAGTGTCACTTGATAATAACACAAACTCCATTGAAAATTTAATTAAAATAAAATTATAAAATTTTTTTCACATATAACTATTAATAAACTATATTTTCATTTATTTTATAATGTAACTCATTTTTTACTTTTTTGTGTTCATTTATTTTTTTTCCTGTTTCACTACATAACCAGTGTGTATAATATATAGTCATAAAATTTATAAATTTAATAAAAAATAAGCGATCTTTCAATACAAAATTTTTGTAAAGATATTGAAAAAAAAATCAAACCAAATAATATAAATTAAAAATTAAAGAAATTTGAATAACACAAGCTTAAGAAAACCTACTTACTTATTATAAGACTCGCAATACATGGCATTCGTTCCCTCAAAAAATTTTGAAATAAACAGAAGACATAACATCAGAGCCCCACGCTCGGCACGAGTACAAAAGAATCTTAGTACTCCCCAAAGCCCGTCTCATCACTTTAGCTCACTTTAGCCAGCTCACAAAGATCATAGTTTCAAAATTACGTTGGCCATTTTGGAAACACTTGGCTTAAAAAAATAATTTATATATATTTTTTAGTTTTTTACAATACGATATATGCCTTCGGATTTTGTTTATATTTAAGTCATTCTGCAAACGATTTTAAGGACAAAAATATTATTGAATTCGCCTGGTGCAGGATAAAGAATTTTTTTTTTTTTAATTTTTGAATATAATATGATAAAGGTGTCTCTAAATTTTTCTTAGACCTAATTTTTGTAAATATTTTAAAAAATAATATTAATTATATTTTATTTCATCAATTTTATCTTATCTATATTTTTAATCAAATTTAATTATATACTTAATTAATTCATATAATTATTTTAAAAAAATAATATTTAATATATTTAAAATTCAATTACAATCGTTATCTTTACTGCAACGTCCTTTGTAAAAAATATATATATCCAAAACCTTATAAACAAAATTTTAGGTGATCAAAAAGCTAAATATGCTATTGCACCATTGCTTTAAATCATTAAACTTTTCTTACTTATTGTTTAGTAAACTTTGTTCCCACGCCAACTTTGGCATTCTTTATTTATGGTATAAAAAGTACTATAAAAAGAATTACAGCACCTTTTTTTTTTTTTTTTTTTTTTACAGTTTTAAATGTTTCTAATTAAGCGTGTTAAAACAACTTTGATAATTAATCATGATTATTAAATATGGCGATTAGGAAACAATTGAATTTTGCTGGCCTCCTGATGCGGAAACATGTGGGTCCCGATAATCCCAATCAACGGTCAAAAAAAGATATGGAAAAGATCCGGGCGGTTTATCAAATCCGTGACAGTGTTTGATCCTTGGTCTTCCTAAGTGGCCGACCACTTCCTATCTCCCATTCCAAATATGTCAAAAATACACATTAGACCAAGGATCCTACCAAGTTATTTGATTCAGTGGACTAATTCAACCCTTTTCTATTTATTTACTTTTTTTTTGGTCTATTTATGCCTTTGTATTTCCATATAGATATATAATTTTTTTTTCACTTTTGTAGCTTTATTTCAATTTGAACTCTTTAAATTCATGAAATACATAAATGTTTTTATAAATTTATAAGTAATGTATTGAAGTACTTTGAATAGTCTTATGGAATATAATATGCAAGAATATTTTTCATATTTTATATATGTCACATTCTCAGGTTTCTTTCTGTCTAGGAAAAAACACATTAAAAATTTTGTCTCTCAAAATTTTTGGCAAAGAAAAATTTTTTCTCTAGTCAAAATTTGCATAATTGACATCATGGCTCAGGATATTTTGTTTCCCAACTCATATTCCTTTAAGGAAGGAGGTGGGTGAATTTAATAAATGTCTGATGTTGATGATGGACCTGAGATTTTAAGCAGATATAACATGGGCCTGACCTTAATTATAATGAACAGCACTCATTAATATTTATAGGAAGTTTAGAATTTGAATAGCCGACACATAGTAGGAGGAAGAAGCAATTATACCGGGCTTTGGACTGAATTTGCCAATCCATTTGCACTTTCTTCAAGAACCCCATAGCCCTTATATGTGGGCAAAATTGGGCTTAACCCGTATGCAGCCGGTTGCTGGAGGTCAGGCCTCTCAATGTCTTCAGCTCTTCTCTTACAATAATCTAAACTCAAAAAGCTTGTTTTGTTTTTGGATATAGAAATCAGCTACTCCTTAATTTTATATACCCAGGTTGGACATAGCCCATAAGAAAAGAGGGATCGATATCAAAACGTCAATGTCCTCTCGAGTGCTCTTTAAGCAATTAGATCAAAGGGATGAAGACATCAGCTACTCATGGATCATGATTGATAGATGGAATGCCATTTTAAGTCTTCATTAAAATACTTTATTAATATCTACTACTAATATTTTATAGATTAATTTTGGAAACCTCCAACTGACTTGTATCCTTTACTTCTTTCTGATCATGCAAGGGGATAGGATGTTTCCGAATGAAATTTTACCCATATATAACTTTATCGTACGTCCCACAACGGGACAAAACTTACCCTTTGTTAACATATAATTAATTAGCTAGTTAATCACATAATCATAATTAACTTTGAATACCTAGAATTATAAATTTTGAGTAAAATTCATGAGATCACCTACAAGAAAATTTTAGCATTTCACTGTTGCCAGCATATATATGCAAAAGTTGCAAATTCTTGTTCAATCCAATGGGATTCAGCCATCGTCAGTCCCCATCTGACTTAAGTGACTTAATTATCAATTGGATATCATTTCATTTGTTTTACTGTTCATGCTTTTGTAATCTTGGGTTTTTACATTTTCTAAATATTTGAACATTTATTTTAACATTTCTTGTTGATGCAAGTGAAAATCCTCTTAGGATTATGAAATATACACTGTCCTTATCTCGAAGCCATCACCTGTTTTCAAATGATAGCAAGTTTTGTACAAATTGAAACCTACAAAATTAAACAGTTTAGACATTTCCTTAAACTGTGTTTTGGGGCTTCAATAGACAAATTAAGAACAGTAGTTTAATACATTTCAAAAGACATTTCACTTGGCCAAAACTATAAAAAAAAAAAAAATTTACTATGTCACTCTCTCAATTATTATTATCAACAAAATCAGAGAGATTTGTCTTTTTATCTAGTGGGATTCCACAATTCAATCTTTCCTATGAAATCAAGGATAAGTTAGTACGACAATCAGCTCCTTTCACCTTCCTGTTTCGAATAACTAGCCTATTAATATGAATAATGGGTAGCTTTCTCTAAGCTGGATCGCCTTATTCCTGCCGTCTTCTTGGCCACACCAAGGTCGACGACATTGATAACTTTCTCTTACCACCTTTTTTTTTTTTGTCAAAATTTATTTTGGCATGGTCCTTGCTCAAGACAGTTGTAGAGAACTATAGGAGAAACAGAGGAAGTGGACCATGCTCAAAGACTTTATCATCATCACGTTTTTGTAAGAAATTACTTGGATGACTACATAATTAGACATTAAAAAAGAATCATGGCTACAACTGTAAAGTTTACTAACTATGAAAACACCTTTTGTAGTTATGCAGAAAGGCTCCAACTTTGGTTTGTCTTGGATTTTCCAACAATAATAATTTGTTAATTAAAAGATTAGTATTGAAAAAAAGTCGATTATCCGTTCCTTTTGGCTTTAGATTCAAATTATGACAAAGAAAGACAAAATTTTTATTGAAACATCAATCCAAGAGGAATACTCCAGATGAACTTTTGCATAAAAACTTAATCTCGAATGCATGCAAAGTGGACTCTTTCTTTCAAGCTATCAGTGCATTTTTATTTTTTTTCTTAGTATATTATAAATACATATCTTTTCTTTTCGAGGGAAATCTATTGTGGGGGATATTATTCTTTTCATAAAGCAAACAATTTACATGCTATGAAGCATCCCATGCACGTGTCCCGTATATTGATGCTATATATTCGAAAACATCATGTCGAAAACTATTTTGACAAGACACAATGCATGTCATGTTTTCGAATATTTTTGTTTTCCAAAATCAAGATTAGTTTTTCTACAAGTACTTATGTAATCTTCCTTGATTTCCTGAAGTCAAAGATAGCATATGTAGAAATTGTACCTGCTTGTCGATATTTTCTTCTCTTTCATTAACCATTTCAAGCTGGATATTTAATTTGCTTGCTTCTAATTTCTCGCCGTCAATCAAGTTTGTCAACCCTTTAATCTTTTCGGTTCCCTCCCCCATCCAAAGAGTCTAACTAACATCTTTCATTGCGTTAAAAATAATTGTAACTAGGTAATTTAACTGGGCTAAATTAATCTTTTAATTTTTTTTTTAACCTTTGAAAATTAAAAAAAAAATGTTAAGTTTTAAATTCCAATCATGTTGATATCATAATTTAATTAAGATAATTATATGAACTAATTCGATTAAAACTCGGATTCATAGCTTAAGTTTTTAATATTAATGCTAATAGGAAAAAGATTGGTATTACTAGAACTTTTATCACCTTTGAACTGAATTGTTAATAGAGAAGTAGTAGCTTTATTCGTCAATTAGAGCTTTAAACATGCATGCAAAAACAGGGTTAAAATCTGCATTTCTTTAACCGTATTTGTAATCCAAAAGGAGGGAGAGTGTTATAATACGTCCGTGCATGACACGATTCCCAAAGAACGTAGGATGCTCTGCATGGGATTAAACGAGGAAACCTCCAGTCATTGGTTGGTACATCTTACAAGAAATCATGATCTTATAATTGAACTCTAAAGCTGCGCTGGGACCCCTTCCAATTTTAACTTTTCTCTGCTTTTGATAAGGGGAAAATGTGAAAAGGAACGAAAGGAAATGAAAAGAAGGTGAAAAAAAGGAGAAAGAAACCAAGTAGATTTGATTTGGACGAACAATTCAAACGATCCCCGAGTTTAAACAGGAAGGAAAACCTAATGGTTAAGGAAAATAAATGGGAAAAAGCCACTAAATATTGGAGAGAGTTTTGATCTTTTGTGTGAAAAGATAATCTGATACCTAACTAATTCCGAGCCTAATCCTCATAGGTTACACACCTTTTTGAGTTTTATACTTTAAATCTCCTAATGTTTTTGAAAACGATTTGACCATTTTTTTTTTTGCAAGATGAAGTCAAATTATCTCCCACTGAAACATCAAACCCACTTGAGAATATTATCCCAGAAATGACAAGAATTGAACGGTCCATATTGAGTGGCTTATTGGCACGACAGAGACATGAACCAAAATAGAGTCTAGAAGCAAATGACAGCTTAGTTTCTACAGTAATAAGGCTTTGCTTTTTAATCGTAGGAGCTTGTTAGTCAAATCATATGCCAGTTGAAATGTTCCAAGTCTTTTTTTGTTGGCTTTTCTTGTTTTGAAGATTAGTAATAAGGAAGGAGAAAAAAATAAAAATAAAAAGGTTCAAGTTATTTGATCAAGAATTATTTCCTGTACACTGATAATCCAACATTGATTGTGAAACAATTGCAAAATGGACCTGACCCACCAATTAATGGGGAAACATTAAAGATGATAAATTTGGATAAGGGAAATTAACAAATTAAAATTACAATTGCCAACTAATTATGATTGATGGGTCCTTTTAAAAATTTTTTGTCCAGGTGCAAGGATGGCCATAGGATCAAAACAGGCCTTCCTCTCCACAAATCTAGTCCATTGATTCCCAAAATGTCTTTTCCAATCCTCTTTTGACTGGTAGTGAGGGAGATACAGCTTGAAATCCAAACCCTCTTTGATGCACCAATTAACAATCTCATGGTTTTGTGCAACCAATTTTTCAACCGATGGGCCCTTGGGAACGAACCGGAGCAACGCCACGATGTAGAAGATTTCCCCTTCCGGTAGCGCCACGGACGTGCGATTATCCCATCTGAAAAACACATTTGAAAGCGACCATACATATATTAGAAGAACAAATACATAAACATTAATATACCTATCCATTTTATCTGGAAAATATGAAAGCAGAACCAATAAATGATTCTCTATCTGCTCTTTCTATTCATTATTCTATAGAAGAAAACAAATTCATATCCAAAAGTTATCACATCAACTAAAAAGGGCGTGCTTCGCATGCCTAGTTTGAAATGTAAGTTTGAGCTGAAAAACTCCCTATATATATTTATACCTCAGAAAAACAAAGATAAGAATGCATGTCATAAGTCGCAATCTTATCCTAATGCATAATTGAGGAAGTTGGGTCAAAAGAATCCCAGTTTTCCTTTGTATCATTTGTAGAATTATTTCCCTTTCCTGGGCAACTTTGAAGCGGCAGAACATATTTGGTTGCTTGGCTGAAATTTACGCCGCAAACTGATGGGAACACCTCTGTCTTTTTGACCGGCATGAAAGTAAATACTACCGGTAATTCTGAAAAAAAGGTATGGACCAATGAGAAGCCCACCGCAGGGGTAATTCCGTCAAAGAGAAAAAATCGTTGCTGGAGCCCGAACAAATTATGGCGTCATAATAGCGTGGTTGGCGAATAAACTTGTTTGTCGTTTCCCAAATGGAAAAGACTGACCCTGGAAAGTTACCTCACTTGGAAATCTCATTTTCGATTAAAAGAGAAAAGTTTAATGACCAAAATACCCCAATTATTGACAGTAAAATTTTTTATAAGGGGTGGAGCCCACCCCGCATCTTCGTCCCACAAAGTACTTTTATTCTTTTTTAAACGTTTGCTTACACGTAAACATACCTCCGCTGCAACAAACACCTAACATGACGTAAACTGTAACGCATATCCTCCAGTACGGATAATGATCAATTACGGTTGAGCTCAGAGTAAGAAGGTACTACAGCCGTTATGGTTTATATATAAGAGACAAGGGACCTTGGATTGGTTGGTGATTGATGTTCTGGGCCATTTAATCTTGTGTGGGTCCCATGTGGTTGACTCTTTGGTAATATAATAGAAATTATTTGATCCTCCTTCAGAAAATAAAAATAAAAATCTTAACCACCCGATTTAATTTGTTTTAGTGAAAGAGTCAGCAAAACAGAGTGAAAAGGCCGGGCGATTGAGGTTTGAAGGGTTGATGACAAGAAAATTGGTAGTGGGTCCCTTGGACCCCATTCCACACGTGTCGTGATGCTAAGCTCATGGTGAAAACCTCGTAATCTCACACGTGACAGACATGCAGTTTGACATATAAAATAGGGGTACAGAAAATAAATATGGGGGAAATACTCACTTGCTTCGCAGAAGAGGGTAGATCAGCATGGGCCCACCGACTCCATTTTTCACCATTCTTTTAAACACCGTCCGATCAAAATCAACGATATCTGATTTGGACACGAAGAGGTTCAGCCAAGGGTGAGGGCTGTCCCAAATGCAATTGGCTTTCGCTTGTTCCTCCGCTCGCTTCACACGCAATAGGAACTCCACGTAGCTGACGTCCGCCTGGAATTTTACCCGGCCCACGAATGCTAGCCGTCTAAGAAGTCTGCTTACGGTCTGCACAGGGAATTGAGTCAAATAAAGAGGGGGTAAAGGGCAATCAGGTAATTTCATTCGTGCAAAGATAAAAATGCCATTCGTGAATAGCAGATTCCGGAAGGTGACGGAGTTTTTGGCCAATTATGGAACATGGGGGACCAAAACGTCAGACACAATCTCAATGATCAGTGAGCGACGACATCTACTGCTGCAACGTTACTATTTTAACCTTGACATATTCCTGATTTCACGAAAGTGACCGAACCAGGAAAACACGAGAGAAGGAACAGCCGAGTCCCATTCTCGTAATTAAGCCCCAATAGGATGGGCATCTCAACAACTTTTTTTGGCAGAAAATCCAATGGAAGATACATTATACCGTATGGTCGGTTTCAACAATGAAAATTATATAATATTAAATGAATATTTCAAACATTATTTCTGTATTTTAGTAACTAAAATTCCCTAATGGTTCCTGTTGTTATGATGCAGGTCGAGAATCAGCCGGTCCTCCGCCGCAGAGGGTTGTACACGTGTAAGCAGCTCTGATTTTTCTTTGACTTTTTTTTCTATCCGGCGGGGACATGGTTGATGATAGGACCCCATATTTTTTTTGTTCGTGGTCAACAGCTTTATAAGGGACCCACCTAGCACAACCTAGTTCAAAACTCACTCATCAGTGTATAACACAAAATATATGTCCCACAGTTTCCAATTCCGGCGAGAGACTCCAACTTCTTTTTCAATCATTCATCGACGGTCACCAATCATGGTTCTTTTTTTTTAAATTTTAATACATGATGCAGGAGATTATTAAGCCAAAATTTTTTAAAAAAAGTTACCGTATCTACTGTTGAAGGATAGTCACTGTTGCGGTAATGGAAAGCCAGTTCGAGGCAGTACAGGACGGAGCCGGCAGTTTGAGGGATGTGAGCCGGGTTGAACTCATGGTCTGGGTCCAATGGCACAGATGGCCAGCCATTAATCGGGTCATCACTGTTGGAGAAGACGAACCCTTCTACGTAATCAAACGACTCACTTTCTTTCTGAGTAACCAGAAACTCAGCATCCCGAGTGAATTCCTCGAACTCAGAATACACTACCCTTATCCATCTTACCTAATCACAGAAATAAAAAAAAAACCACACACATGCACACACAACCAACTTAAAACAACAGAAATTACGTAATGTAAACGTGTCACTCATGCGCTTAAAAATGTTAAAATTTTGAATATGAACAACGAAAAATAATTTCTTTTGTTAAAAAATAAAAACAGTAAAAATAATACCCACCATGTCCGGAGCTGGCTGTAGCTTAATCCTTGCTCGGGTAATAATACCGAACTGACCAAGCCCACCGAGAACTCCAAAAAAGAGTTCAGAGTTTTGGCTTTCGGAGCAAACCGTTATTTCTCCTTTTCCAGTTACAACATCCAATTCGGTCACGTTCGACGTTTGGGGACCATGACGGAAGGTCTGTCCACTAACGCCAGCGTTAGATAAAGTCCCACCCACCGTTAAGCTCAAGTAATCGGTCCACGACCGAGGAGCCAAACCGAACAGCGAAACGCACCGTGTCAAGACGTCTTCCCATAATGCCCCACCGGAGACATCGATATAAGGAGAGCCATTAATTTTGAAGAATTTGAAATGGTTTTCCTCCGTGGAACGCATGTCTATCACGAGCCCTCCACCGGCCATCGCCTGACCGTTGATCGAGTGGCCGTTACCCCTCGCCGCAACCGTCAGATGTGAAGTCCTCGACGCGGCCTTAACGACACGAGCTATATCCTCGGCTCCAGACGGTTTTATTAAAGCCAAGGGCTTAACCGAATAAAGACCACCGAAATCTTTACTAGCCAAGCCCGTAACACAACCGCTTTCGATGCTGCCTTGGAGGTCAAGAGATTTAGATATACTGGAAACATCGTCGTCGAGTTTCGACTCGGCGTCGTTGTCGTGTACGATTCGTCCCAAACAAGCTATCATCTTTGTTTGCTAATGGGAAATTCGCCTTCTCTGTTTTTGTATGCAAAATACAAAAGAGAAAAAATAGAAGGGTAGTTTTTGTTGATTCAGAGAACTATATATCTAAGCTGTGTTTGGAGGTTATGGGTAGGGAAGGGCTTTAAATACTGCTGAAATTGGTATGGTTTTTGAACCAAAATTTTTTTTTTTAATTTAATTTAACTAATATAGGAATAAAAAACGGTGATGTCAGCAAAAGTTTCAATGCCTTGGTTGACGTTGTGATCGCTATTGGCATACTTTGTCTGCCACTTTCCTTTAACTTAATGGAAAAAAAATAAATACTAATACTGAAAAAAAGTTTGGATTTTGGAAACAAGTTTAATTTGCCTTTGCTTGTTTCATTCCTTTTAATATTTTTTAATTGTAATTTTGGCCTAAATTTTACTGTTTTTTTTATGTTAAATGTAAAATATTAATGAGAAAAATATTAGAGATTATAGTTTATTACAATTGATTCAAATTTTTTTAAAAATAATTGATTCTAAGTACATATTTTAAATTTATTTATTCTAAATATATTCTTCAAATTAACTACATATTGATTGCTTTAAAAGAAAACTTTTCATAATTGTTTTAAAAGAAATCTTAATAAAAAGATAGTGATATTTCCCAACAATAGATTAAGGCATTATCTCTATATAAGCCAATTACCGCTCGTTAGAAATTATGAAAAATGGTAAAAATGAAACATTTGTTAATCAAATGATTAAGTTTCAAAATAAAAAAAAAATATAAAATTTAATTATTAAATTAATGAATTTTCAATTTTCATTATTTTTCATTCTTCCACGAAACAAAATTTAAAGCTATCTTAATTAATAACAATGTTACGACATTGAATTTTAATAATCAAAATTATAACTTCAAATATAAAAAAAAAATGTCATAAAAGTAGTCATCATCGATCCTCTTGGTTACTTAATCTAAGTGTTGCTTACAGATTCACGCTTTTGAGATATAAAAATTAAAGTGTGACATAAATTCTTTAAATGCAAGAATAATGTTACAAATTAATTAATAATTAATAAATTGTGCAGAGAGAGGAAGTCAACCTATTAATCGATTAATGCAGTAGCAAAATTGACGCACAAAATAATTATCTGTTAGATGGCGGAGGCTTTTGAAGCATACTAAATATTCATTTTTATTAAAAAATGATCTCACACATTTCACCTGGACAAAATAATTTATATATTATTTATTTTTATGCTTGAGAAATAATTAGTATATATTTTTATTAATTTATGGTTGAAGATTTAATAAGTCAACAGAAGCATCTGTCAGCGTTAATAGTCAATGAATTTTATATAGTTGTGATTAAGGGTATAATCTAATCGAGTGGAATTGATATAATAAGGAGTTCGAGTTTAATTTCTTATTCATGGCTTAATATTTGGTTTGAACTCGATCGAATTTCATTTTCTTAACTCGAGCTTGATTCATGATCGAATTCGAACTACTCAAACTCACTCAATTAAATTTAAAAATATGTAAAAATAAATTCGATTCTTATACTCGATGAGAATTCGATTATTTGTGCTCGAGTTCGAGATATTTTATTAATTAAAATAATAAAAAAAAATTAAATATAAAAGCTCGATTAGACTCGCGAGCTATTCGAGCTGAATATAAGAATACTCGAACTCTACTCGATCGATGAGTCGAGCTACTCGAGTTCGAGCTCGACTAGATAATAATCGAACCGAATTTAAGTTTTATTCGAATCGAAACCAAATAGTTTGCGAGTACTAATGTATCATTTACACTTTTAATTCTGACAACCACAAAAATTAAAATTAAAAAATGATTTAATTAAAATGAGTGTCAAGTATATTTTATGAATCAAAATTTAATTTAATTGATTCGTATAATTATTTTTTAAAATTTAATATTTAATAAATTTATAATTTAAAATTTAATATCTCTATATTTTTATGCTTAAATTATAATTTTTTTTTGTAAAAAAAAGTACATTCCTTTTTTTAATTATTAAATTATGATATTTTTCATAAAAAAAATTGTTGATTGAACATTGAAGTGAAAATATCAAAAATATGAAACTCATTGAAGAACTTTAGATTAGATTTAGTTTAGTCAAATAATTTTTTTAATAATTGGCAAATTCAACGCCCTTGTTTAGGGAGTTGGCTCGTGAAGCACTCTTTAGTTTGGAAATTAACTTTTCTCAAAATTGATGGATGATCAGTTACTAGGAAAACTTAGTTAATCAATTTTTATTATTTTTATAAAGGGTAGGGTGGCGTGGTAGAGAGTTGTAGTCAAATGAATTTATTATGGCCCTGCAAAATATTTTTCTTTATTTTTAATTGAAAGCCGGCTTCAAAATCTATCTCCTGAATTTTTTATTTTAAGCCGGCTACAAATATCAACCTTAGTTCTTAAATTATACTACAATATTAAAAAGTGACCGGTAAGCATAACGGAAGAGTTCCTTGGCTATGCCATATTATATATATTTTTTATTATATGCTAATTAATAAAGATAATGTTAAGTATTGTAAAAAAAAATTGTAACTACTAATTACTATATTATTTTTATTAGATAAAAATATTTTTATAATAAATTAACTAATTTTTATATGTATTTATATATGTCCGTATCAAAGTTGTATGATCTATAAGTTCGATTGTCAAATATTGAATTTTTAATTATAATTATTAATAATTAAAATTTAATAATCTATTATAATCAAACTTATTAATAATAAATATTTTGGCGTTAGACAATTCAAGCATGGATTTCATTTTTCTAGCTAACTAGCTAGTTCTCTCTCAATTGAAGATATTCCTACGGATGGGGAGTAGGCAAAATCTTAGAATCCAAACAGCCCAAGGCACAGCATTTAATTCACCACGCACGTAGTGTTTCTCTCTTTAATGATGATGGAAACAACCAAGTTTCATCAACTTGTAATATTTGTATGGATGCTACTATTTTGTAAGATAAGTAAAAAGGCAGAGAGATATGAGAATCCGAGGCATGCCATCACTCCTTAAAAGCACAAAACAAATATCCCAAAATTCCAAGATTTGGATAGCTTTTTCCAACTACAATCCAAAACCCTAATTAATTGAAATTTAATTTTTGCTTAAAGCTTAAACCATTATCTTTTCCTTACATGTTAATTTAATTAACTTAATTGGTGGGAAGAATTAAAGCTTTCCTTTTCTTTTAATTTAAGAGTTCTTTTGGTATTAGATTTTCTTTTTCTTTTAAAAAAGATCTTAATCAAATATAAATGAACAAATTATAAATGTTGAGATTTAAATTTTAAATTTATTTAATATTATCTTTTAAAAATAATTATATAAATTAATTAAATTAAACTTTAAATTCGATATAAAGTTGTTTTTCCTATACTAGCTAGTTATATTTATATTTCCTTTATGTTGAAGATAAAAGGCATTTTAGTCCCAAATAAGATTTAGTCATTGCTTTGTCATTTCAGATGGCATAATTTTGCAATCAAGTATTTGGCAACTAGGGAGAAGGATGACAAATTTTGCCTCCATTACTTGTTTGTTTTGTCTTTAAATGGCTTATACTAATTTTTCCCTTATAAAGAAAGGGGGGCATAATGGTCCGTACAAAAAAGTCTATGCTGTCATTTTGGCATGCCTATAATAATTCAGTTCATTTTTTTATTTTGGGTGGTGGTGATTGGGACCATTGCACAAAATGGGAAATACCCTTTGTTTTTTAGACCAAAATTATTAAGTTTGGTTCTTTAATTTGGTTGGTTCACATTAATTTAACTAACCTATCTCTACTTTATATATCTAGAGTATGTTGTACTATACTTTTCAATCTCACAACATTAAAAATGTGCAACATACGTAGTTTTCTTCTTTCCTACATGTTGTCCTAACTTACTTTCCACACAATTTAAATACATTTAATTTTGCGTATCAATCACACAATTTGTTTTTCCTTTTTTTGGTCTTCATTGTAATATACACGTAATGTCCTATTTGTCGAGGTTACAAATTTTAAGATGTCTATAATTTACTTTCATATGTCAATTAGTTTCTAATGTACTATATATATATTTATGAAATTATTAAGATTTGGTTGATTATCATTAGAGTTAAGAGTTTAATGTATAAGTTTGATATCAAGTTTTGTACATAAAAAATCTTTGGTCTAATGTTATAAAGTATAAAAAATCTTTTTCTTTGCATTAATTTCTCATCTCTCAAAAAATATTTCTTAAGTAGTATACCAAAGGTTAAATTATTCATTTTGTCATACTGACTATACAGGAAAATTAGGCTTGTTAAGGTCCCCTTTGTTCCATTGTTCTTTTGTATATATATGTTAACAAGTATTACCATTGTGCTATATAAATTCAATCTTTTTATTTTTTTTTTGGTAATACATAAATTAAATTTATATATCTTAATTAATTCAGTAAAACACTTATAATTACATTATTTATATTTTGATATTTGAGATTATTTGGAATTCAATTTGATTATTAAAATGAAAAGTTTAAGACTTTATCAATAGATTCTACGATTGTTATATTATTTTATAAATATAGGTTTAAGTCACAAAATCTAAGATAGTTAATTTTCGTATGCCAATTTTTTTATTACCAAACTATATTTGGCGTGAGAAAATAAGAAGACTTTTACTCAAATTTATAAATAATTTATCATTTCGCAAATTTAAAAGAAAATTCCTAAAGGTTAATTTAGGCCCAAAACTATTTCTTTCTTTCTTTTTTATTTTTGGAAAATAGATTGTTTAAATAAAATAAAATAAATATTAAATCTAGTAATTATCACCCTATTTAATGGAGTGGTACATATATTTTGATTAATAATCCAAAGGCATTTAGTTGTTCTCAAAGTTGTATTGAGTGATTGTCGTCATTAATGATGCTTTTGTAAACCCTAAATCCAACATAAACACCAACTCAGTTACTTGTGTAAATAACAATTTAAGTCACTCTCAATGGTAGCCATTTACTACAACAATACTTACCTTTTGAAACTCTCTTTGCGTTTTATATTTGGGAAAAGCAAACTTGCTAGCTTTACACTTTCACAACTTTTCATTCAATGTGAGTAGTGACCATCTACATCCGAAACAGGAAACAGTCACAGAACAAACCAATTATTAAATTCAAAGGTAATGTTAACTCTTGATTTGCTTTCGGAGCCCACCAACTTCCTTTGCCTGATTGATTTTTCTTGGGTTAATCTTTGCAATGGATTTTGTATGATTTCAATTTGACAGTGTCACTTGCATTCCAACAGCCTATTTTGCCTTGCCTTGCCCTATCTTCCACATATATATTATTAACTACGTCTACTGATTGAGACTTGTTCAAGGGCGGCACTTTTTTATTTGCTTGTTATCATGCTTTGTGTAGGACCAAAATTCCTTTATTTTGATGTGGACTTGCTCAAACAAGGGTAATAAATTACATTAAGTGCCTGACTTATCTGCAACTTACCTGTTCATATCATCAGATTATTACAAGAAACTATGTTTTTTTTTTTTAATAACAATTGGGTTAATGGGGATTTTGTTCTATCCTTCTGCACTTAATTTAATCGAAATATTGGTCAAATCAATTTTGGATTTGAGGGTCTGAACGTAGCCTACTATATACATATGTAATTGTTGTTCAATGAACATAGTTATTACTTCATTAAGCATTGACAAAATTGGTTGTTGATTTTTGTTGTAATTAGTTTTGAAGATCTTCTCTCGTGTGTAATCTGATATCCTGATGCAATGGAAGATTAAGCATGATGCCATGCAAATCGATCCGAAAACGAGATGATTTTATACTTATCCCAGAAGAAAAGGCGTACTCAAGTTCTATTAGTCCCGTATGATTTTGTTGAAGGCATTCGGCATCTTATTATAATTAATTAGAATTGAAAAAAAAAAAAAAAGGTTATTTTAGATTATTTAGGTACATGTTTTTGGAACATTCATTTGTTTCAACTTTCAAAGATATTCTAACGTGCGTAATCTGATATTCTGATTCAAAGATTAGGCCACATGAATCAGTTTGAAAACGAGATGATTTCATGGTCATCTAAAAGAAGAGAGAGGAACTCAAGTATTACTATCTCAATTCTCAAATAAGTTTATGATTGTGTGATGCAAATTGGAGTTGGGTCGACACGCCTAAATAATTTTAAATCTGTTGATTTTTGAGCATATTTGCTGATAGATTTCGTGGGATATCAATCTTGTAGGGTTGTTTGTTAAGATATCATCATCTTTTCGAAGTTAGATAATCGACATCATAGTTAAGGTTGAATAGCCGCAACGAATCTTTCAGTTGAATATTGGAGCTCAGAATCTTGTCATGACATCAGTTTTGTTTTTCTTTTTTCTTGATGAGAACAAACAGAAAAAAGTCGGCAAGGCAAAGACACAATTTGCTTTCCTGAACAAAAGTGTTTTCTTGTAATAACATAAACAAGATATCTTTTGCTAACTACTTGGGGTTGGAAAAACCAATTTCACTTGTATTATCCCTATATCTATTATCAAATATCCAACAATTATGGGTTAGATCTTATAAGCCTATCAGCTTTAGCAAGCGTTCAAAGGCAACTGCTGAGAAGGAAAAAAAATAAAAGTAAACAGGGGAGATTTAACAATCCTGTCTTGACATGATTTGATGCTAAGATAAGCTACTGTTTAATAATTTCAAATTCTTCTGCATCATGTATAGTAGGTAAGGCTTAATGATCTTGAGTCATTTATGCAGATTTGTTTTCCATGGATGTTAATTGAACCTTGGAATTTCATTCCAAAATTCATGCCGGTTTTGACCGAAACAAAAGGTTGCTTGGAAAGAATGTGCATCCTTGCTGTAGCGAGTGCTCAATAACCATGAAATTTGTAATATTGAAATTGGGGTACTGCTATAAGACTTTGTGATTTTTATTGGAAACCAAATCTGATAGCTTCATGTCTGATTGCCTCAAGTCATTGGTGTGGTTTAGACTTTTATTTGAAAATCTAACTTAGTTGCAACTTACAATACGTTATCTTGGTGGTTGATCAAAAACCTAACTAATGTCCCAAAATATGAACATTGACAATTTGGCATAGGCCAGTTTCATTATTACTGATTGCATCTCTTTGCCCCATGATTTCTTGTTAGTCAAGTGAAGTACACACATCACCATAGGCCTTCGCTGCAGAGTCAGTCATAACCAAGACGCAAGGGCAAACGCTTCCTCTCAACAAGTGTCCATAAAGAATTACAAATTGAGCTTCATTGTGTTGTAGATTATGCTTTTGCCTTCAGATAATGCTGAAGAACAGTGATGGACTTTTGCTTTTATGATGCCTGCATTGACTGGATGGAGTAGAATCCAATTATCAAACAGTATGCAACGTCATTATTTTCCATGTTTACTTAATTAGGTCTATGCACAATTGATTTCACATGTGTTTGAGCTATTAATTGGGATGTATTCTTCCCTGATTGCATGGATTCCAGACTAAAGAGTAGCAGATTTGCCTTTTCCTTCAAGTTGATTTCATTGTTATGATGATATGATTCAAACTGATAAGATGAGGGTCTATCTGATGTGATTCTGTCTTCCAATAGTGTCACAACAACACTTTATTTGATTCCATATTGCCTGCATTGTTTGAATGGAAGTAATATATCTTACCTGAAATTCTATTTGCCAATCACCAGAAACTTAATATTGCAAATAACAAATAAGATTGCAGAAACCTTGATGCTGTTGTCTTGGAGGAACTAGACAATGTAGGATAGGTTGAAATCTATGCCACATAATAGAAATTTGATTCTCTTCTTTTTTGGTCAATATTCAGCTTATATCCAAGTTTATGTTTTAGAGTTGTCTGTTAGGCAGATTATTCTGACAAAATATTCCCCATATTTGATGAATTGCTGAGAATGAATTCAATTTTATCTAGACAAGAAATAAATATTTTGATTATCAACTTCACTTTATTTTCGATCTGGTTCATCTTTAAGCAAACATTCTATTCCATTTCCTTAGAATTCAAAACATAGGAGAAAAAGTAGATCCTTCTTAAATGGATTGGCATTGAACAATCAACAGAAAAAAGAACATGCTTCGATAACAGCAACCCATCTAATCAGGTTCCATATGCTAAAGATAGCAGTTATTAAAAACTTTAATGCTAATTGTTATACTAATACAACAAATTTACCTTTTGATGACAGTATCTTAAAGTGTTGTTTCCCTTTAAAATTAGTCTCAAATAGAGCAGTCCAACTCCACATATCATTATGAATTGAAATTCTTCATTTGAGATGGCTGAGCAACAGTTGTGCAATTTTGCTAGCATTGTTCAAATGGGTAATCTTTGATTTAAGTCTGGAAATACGTAAGATTTTGTCCTATGCCTTGTACATAATTTTTTTCAAAAAAAAAAAGGAAGAAAATTCCACTATCTCGCCTAGGTCCCATTGACATATATGGCCAATCAAAACAGTATTTCATCACAATGATTTATAATTTGAACTTTCCACTAGCATTATTCAGTCTTTGGAACAATAGCTATGATGGCTCATCTTCAGTTTATGGCCTGCTTTATTCGCTGCACTTCATGAAAAAAGCATATTCCCAGAAATGGAATGACTTTTTTGATTTGATACAACCCATCATCTTCTCCTTGCTATCAAGTCATAGAAGAGTAATCTCCAACATTGCCAACATGTTGAACCTGCAAAATTTCAAGCATTTCCACCAATGAGATCTTAAACGTATAGTCAAACTCAAGTTTTCCATGAATCCTAACCGTCTGATCTCTGATTTTAGTATATAGTATAACCTTCAACTTGTATGCTTTTTTGTCCTGTTCAATGATAATTCTTGAATTTGATAAGCATGAATTTTCAAAGGGCATTTGCTGTAGTTTTGAGATTGAGCTGGCTCTGTCTGGTGAATTTATCTGTGAAAAATAAAATCAATACTTTGTCCGGTGAATTTTTGTGTCTTAGAGTTGTCAATCTGACAGCATTGAATATTTTAAAGCAGAGTGAGTAGTGGGAGAGAATCTGACAGCATTGAATATTTTACGAAGCGACTGAATTTAGCATCATTCTTCGCTCCATTTCTTCTGTTGTTTAGATGAAAAATTTGTACATAGAAATCTGGTTTTAAAGCTTATTGTTGTAACAATACAAATTCCCTATCCCAAGGTATAAAATTAAAGTTGGTAACCCAACAATCCAACATCAGTGAATATGAATCTCATATCTCTAGCAAGTAACAACCCACCATCATTAGAATTAAATCCATGATCTATCTGGCAATTTGTTGTTAATTCTAAATATTCGTCAACCAAAATATATTTGCTCATGATGGAAATTTTTATCAACAAAATAGATTTTCTTGCTCCTTAAAGACATTGAAAGCAGCAAAAATGCACTGGTACTATATTCTTTTCCAGTTTGGTGCATAGAATTCGACTAGTCAGCTGTGTTTTTATTTATTTATTTCTTGGGTGTGATTAAAACTTCAGGGTAAGACAGGTGGTAAATGACGACATTTCCACTCAATTTTGTGAATTGTATCTGCTTCTCTCTTCAGCTATGCAAAAGAATATCCAGCGTCAGTGGACAGCGACGTGAAACGAATGGGGTTAGGTTACGAATTCCCTTCTCGAGAACATACCTGAACGGCCTATTGCTAAGAATTCATAAATGACAAAAAAAGATATGCCTTTGCAAGGTAGATTTTGGCATTGATAGCATCAACTTGGAGGAGAATTTTTGGCCTATTCTTTCTCCTAATACCCAGCGAAACACATACATATTATATGAGTATCGATGAATTAAGGACAAAAAGCAAGAAAATTAAAATTGGGAAGAGAAAATATTGTTTGTTTCATCAAAGACAAAGTGTGAGGTGATGGGTGATTTTGGAGGTTGTTTCCTTGTTATGAAGAGTACTAATTTTTGGGGTTGAAATTTGAATATATATGGTTGCAATTTTCGAAGAACAGACGGATTTTTCATGAACCTAACACATTCAGAAAGAATAGTGTTGTAATTAGTAGTACTTTATTTTTGTTTCATAGGGAAGTTCTACCAAACAAACAAACAAACTTAAACCCTGATTTTGAAGCTTACATAAAAAAGGATGTAGTGATTATCGATTAGATCTTTGTCTTTGAATGGTGGTTTTGGTTATAATGGAGTTAGATATCCCACATGTCTGCCTAGCTAGTTAACAGAATTTAGCAACCCAAGTTGGCATAATTGCCTTAAGTAGAAAAGCTTCTTTAAACTATTATGCTGAATAAAACTGGGTGTAATTTATAGGATCCAGTATTCTACAAATGATTAAGAATTAGTTCCCAAACTACAAGTTAGATAGTTTTCATGATGAATCTAACTAAACCCACATTTTTTTTGGGAAGAAGCCGGCTGTTACCCTAATTATTGACTAATTTATTAATCGCATGAACCCCATTCATTACATACCAAGTAATGATGGCATGGATGTGGGAGATTCATCTCTTTGCTTTTTTCTTTTTTTTTTTTTAATTTTCAAATTAAAAGTTACATATTATATTCTAATAATTAAAAGTACACGACTTCAAATGATCATAGAAATGTTAATTACTATCATTGCCTCACATGGTGATCAGCAGCAAAAGATTAAATTCAAAGTGTTCAACTAATTAAGCAAAAGATTAAACGAGTTATAAATTCAATGTGTTCAAGAAAAAAATTGGGCATATGAAAAGCTTACTACATAACCTTTTCATCTAATGGAAACTCTGTTGGTTGATTGTTTATGGAAGAGGAAGAACAACCCGTTCTCTGTTAGACATTGAACTGTTGAATATGGCAGCAATAATACTTTTATTAAGAAAAGCCGAGACAATTTAGGAGTCAAATTTAGTCATTAATTCCAGGGTAAAGACGCACAGTGAACTGATTACTTACGAAAGAGCCAGATTTTTATTTATTTTTGTAGTGCAAAGCTAAAAAATGAATGAAAAATGATCTCAAGTTGGGGATTGGGTTAATAGTTGGTTCATCTCCTCATGGGATGGTTGATCTGTGTATAGGGTTAGCAGCAGATTTTTACCTCTGAGATGGATTGATATATAGTTGAATGCTCGATTTGAATATGTTTAGGCTAGCTAGTGCGTTTGTCCTATGTATTGGCCTTGTTAGCTTCGTGGCTAGTGGGTTTTACTGGCTTTTGTCCAATATATTGTCCTTGTTAGCTTTGTATGTGCATACCCTGTTTTGATACAGGCCAGACTCTTCCAAGACATATGCATCCACTAAGATGCGATTCCTGAATTAAACTGCTAAAACCAGTATATTTATATTTATCTCTTAAGATTACTGCCCAGTTTAATTCCCCACCTAACCTAACTTTTTTTAGGGATTAACCCAATCTAAATCTTTTCGTACTCTCTCTTCTATCAGTATATACCATGCTTTAATTCGTAGAACTGAATAAATATCGAGGGACACTGCCCAGTAGACTAAATATGACAAAAATTCAATAAATCTTGGGAAACTGAACAGGAAAATTTATACTGCAATTAATGCATGTCCATATTTCTTAAATTCCATTTCGATTTGGAATTGAGCACCATCCTCAGGATTCTGAAAATGGGACCAGATCAAGGCCTAAAGGTTATAGTCCTGGCAGGTTTTAAGTGGGGGTTCCTGTAATATTCTGCCAAGCCAAAAGTAGAAGGGCCAGGGGGGTCGGCTGTGTATCCTGGCCTGTTGAAAGCAAAGATATGTTCTCTAGACGAGAGCACAGAATAAAATAGCATAATGAGGAGAAACAGAATTTTGGACACAGATGAAAAGGGATCACGTGCTTATAAGAGCAAAGGCATCATGCAATATTTCCCTGTCAGGATGAAGAAGAATTTTATAGGCCAATCACCACAATTATTTATGTTTTCTCACTTTTTTGAATGTACTTTAATATTCTCTCCATGACAGAGAGGCCATGTAAGATAATTATGGTTTTGACTGTTGCTTTGATCTCTAATTTGACTCTCTTGTTGTCCTCAATCTGCTTATTCTATGTTCCCATCATATCTCAAATTCCAGTTCTCTACTAAAATTATGAAACATAACATGCAAAAAGAATTTCTTGTGGCAGTTTCTGTTTATTTCTTGTTTAGTAGCATAATATTGTATAAATTAAAATACGGTATTTTATTTGATTAGAGAATAACAGCCATTGGATATGAGCAGTACTAATCTTGTGCATGAACATCAAATATCATAGATTATCTTTATTTAAAAATCATCAGCCAGATACCTTTGTAAAACTTTCAGGATCCAAATCCTAGCTCATATTTATAAATGGTTAGTTGGGGTTCATATTCTTTCCTAGGAAAGGTAGCTAGAGCTCATACAATATAGCACCTTCTGAACCATAAATATCTGTTGCCAACTTATCCTTGCAACTCCCTAGCACCCCTTTCTTTCTATTTCTCTGGTAATTAGTGGTGTTGATTTGGCCCATAGAATTCAGATTTGCTTGCAAACATAGGAAGTGAAACAAGATGCCAAGGGCTCCCATAAGCACAAAATGCACCAGGAAAGAAGCCAATAGAGGAGCTTGGACAGCTGAAGAAGACCAAAAGCTTGCTCAAGTAATTGAAATTCATGGTCCAAAGAGATGGAAATCAGTTGCAGAAAAAGCAGGTTCACCGAGAATATATGTTCACCTCATTATTACAGCCACATATCAAACGATCTTTTATCTTAAAATGGATTTATGGTTTCCATTTTGTTTCAGGTCTGAACAGATGTGGAAAGAGTTGCAGATTGAGATGGATGAATTATCTTAGGCCCAATATAAAGAGAGGCAACATATCAGACCAAGAAGAGGACTTGATACTAAGGCTTCATAAACTGCTTGGAAACAGGTAAGTTGGTCATACTTGTCTGGTTACTTGTGGAACAAAATTGATCAATGACTGAATCACATTAATTGCCTTATAGGTGGTCTTTGATTGCTGGAAGACTACCAGGTCGAACTGATAATGAAATCAAGAACTATTGGAATTCTCATTTGAGCAAGAAAATAAAGCAAAATGAGAAGCAAAACAGAAGTTCAAGATTGCAAGAATCGGTGCTTGAAAATTCTAAGGTAAACCAGATGGACTCTGCACCGACGGGGAGTGAAGAAGGTTTTTCCAAGAGAGATGATGACTTCACATCTTGCGTCAATGGTGATACCTTTTTTGACTTTTATAACCAGGAGCCTCTTAACTTGGAGTGGATGAGTCAATTTTTTGAAATGGATGAGAGCTGGTTTAACTTTGTGTGATATCTAAATTTTGTCTTTCTCCATCAAGTTGGTTGTAGTTATGTTCTTCAGCTGCTTTACCCAAAGAGCCTTTGGTAATCCAAGGAAAATCCTCCAGTTTTCGTTCTCTGTCCTAATGCTGACTAAGGTTTTTCCTTGGATTAACAAGTGGGAATGTCATGATCTTTCCTTCTTTTCTTCCTTATTCAATTAGTATAATTCAGATTGTTCTATTCCAAGGGTAGCTACTCCCAACAACCAAAAGATAAATACTTAAATACGTATTTCCAAATTCCAAGTGAGAAAGAAAACTGTCAAAGTCTTGTTCATGGCAGACTTCGACCTTGGAACTGTCTAGAAGTGAGAGTCTGCCATTAAAAGGCGTTGTATAGATCAAACAGTGATCATTAAAGTTGGAAAAGTGTAAGTTGTGTTCTATTATTTCAGACATAAATTAAGGAGAAAAGGAATAAGACTGAGTGGGGGCTCACCCTAAAATGAATTTAATAATTATTCGAGATCATTATAGGCACTTTGATTACTCCATTAGAAATGATAATTGCAACACTTTTGCCATCTTTTTCCTTCTGCCTTTGGCCCTAGTATGCCATCTACATGCTCTCAAGGTATAGAATGGCGCCACAAGTCCATGGATTGTAGCCACTACGATCCAAAACAGACCAAAAACTAAACTACAAGGATAAGTTAATTGATAGAAACAATTCACAAGACGCTAATAATGAAATTTCAGATTCTGCTGTCCTTTCTTTGCTGTTGAATGACTATCTAAAGGGCTCGGTCACGGGTTAACCCAAAGTGTGAACAGAAAGTGACAAAAAACCCATTCTTTTTATATGCATTAAAGACAAAGTATCTCAACAAAATGTTCAATGTTTCAGAAACTTGTGTGTTTATGATACAGAAAACTATGCTCGCTCTTACTAAATTACTCGAGTAAACACTCTCCCTTTGCCAGGAGTTGCAAGTTGCAACGTTGACCAAGCATATTTCATACCCTCAAAATATACTTACTAAACTATATATATGTATATATAATACCTATTTCATACTTATTAAACTATATACATATATATGTATATATATATAGACATATTTATATATAATAAACATTTCCTTGCCATAGAATAGAAGGAATTTAGCTTTGGTGTGATCACAGACCGGGCCAACATGTCTAGTTTTATTTTTTGAAACTAACACGTCTAATTTTATCATTTACTTTTAATAAACTAACATATTTAATTTCTTATTTATTATAATTTGGAGAATAAGAAATGCCTCTTTTCTTTTATACAAGAATGAAGATTGAGGACTGCATGAATCTATGTTAGTTAAAAATAATTTTTTATTTTTATTAATTCACATTTTATATGTTATTTACATGAACTCTAAAAGTAATTTACCCCTTTTTACAAACTTAATATATATTATAATAAAATGGCTTAACACTATAATGTTAATGTTCAATTTCAGTGGGGTCAAAGCTTTGAATTTCCAAAACGTTTGATATTTTCTTAACAATAATCCTATAAGAAATTTAGGAACTTGTGCAGCTGCCCCAACTGGCTCCTATGTAGATCCGTCCCTGGTGCAAAATAATGGGAGCACGATGTTGAGACTGAAGAATGATGAGTGATGACAGTACAAGGAGCATGAGTGTAAGAAGGCGAGCCAAAACCTGCAACTTAGGCTAAGTTTTTTGAGCGAAATGTTTGGTCATAACTCATAATTATGTATTGCAGAATTATAACTTAGAAACCTATCTTTTTGCCAATGCTTACAATATTAAGGTGGTTTATGTTTTCAATGCTGGGAATTCTCTTTCCACAGACTTCGCAGTATCTGCTCCTCTTGCCTTTTCTTTCCAATTTGGATGCACGGATAAGATGGTCAATGCCCATGCGTGCAAGTTGGCTGTGGTATCCTGTCCTGCAAAGCAGAACAATTTGCATTCCTCTTTGACATCTTAAGTGGTCACATAGCCAGATTTTTCTTAGCACTGCAATAGTAATCCTAGTAAATCATTGTTAAGAAGTTCTCCATTTTGTATGCCTTTCTCTTTCTTATGGATCATATTCCATAATGTTCTTTTGGTCCTGATGGTCTATACCACCTCTTTTTGTTCTTTCTTGATATAGGACCCAAACAGATTTAGAATTTTAGCAAATTCAGGAGCACAAATTTAATCAATAACAGTGGATATATGAATATATGAATCCTTTTAAGTCATTAGTCTCTATTTAGGCATATATACATGGATTGGTAACTGTAAGATTGATTCTAATCAAATGCACTAAACAACATGCCAGGGAAAACAGAGGAATTGAACTTAAATCCAGGAATGTTGATGGAATAAGAAAAGCTTCAAGCACTAAAACAGGCTTCCTCTTTCTGAAGTTCAAGTATATTCTTTTCTACTTCATAGCTGACTCTAAAAGCCGTTTGAGCAATACACAAGATCCTTTTGGACTCACCAACTTTGTCCATCTATCAACCAAGTTACAACAATTTATTGCAAATGTCGGTATCATTTCCCTTTTTACCAGCAACGATTCATTACTACATGTATTTCCATAGTTCTGTTAGATGGGCTTGGTTATATATAGTTCTTTCTGTCATGTGTGATGAAATTAGATTTGTATGATTCCATTATTTACTGAAAAAACAGATTGGCACTGTTTGAGTTTGGACTTTGGAGGAAGAGAGGACTAGAGGGGTAATTGGAAACAACACATAAAGCCATTAAAAGAATTAATGTTTTCCATAGCCATTGAGCATCCAAGTAGGAAGTGTGGTTAGCAAACAGGGTAAAGTAATTATCTTATTATTTGACAAGAAAGACCACTAGAGTGTTAGATTAGATTCCTAATTTCAGCTATCAGAGTTTAATTTCTTATAATCTCAAATACCAAAAGAAATTATTTGACAAGAAAGAAAATTATGTAGAATGGTGTTGTCCATTAAGTTTGATACTGTCAGTATATGAATGAAGGTTGTAAGAAAATCATCTATCTGATGTAGAGTTGAAGATCTGGTGCATGTGCAACAGCAGAAGTACCTTTAACTTCTGAAGATGAAAAGCTGGTGTTACCAGCCTTCTGCAAATGGCCCATTTCTCTCCTTCCAAGGTTGAGACTCCCAGCTGTAGAGGATCCACCAGAGGTTTTTCCACATGTGGCTTTACAGATGACCATTCTTCTTATCCGTTGATATCATTTTCATCAGCTCAGGGTCTGTTCTATTAGTCTTGGTCTTGTTTTCAACCAACTCAGACAGATTTTTCCTGTTTTAAGTCCTGAGAAAGAATAGCTTGAAATAATTACTTCACATAAAAAATGTCACTTTCATTTAATTATAACAATTAATCATACATTTTTCAATAAATCAGGTATGTGTTCAACATTACAGAAACCAAATGTCATGGGGTTATAAAACAGATAAGAACAAAATGACAATAACATCAACACTGCCAATTATCACCTGTACCATTTACAAGAACCAAACTATATTGAAAAATCTGTGACAAACATTTGATTTTAGTTTAATCTCTAAATTTATTCTAATCTCGACCCAAATCTTCAAAAACAAAATGCAAAGTTCATGCAGAATGCTTTATAACCATAGTTTTGCACCATTTGATAAATGAATGGTGCTAGACGTGGCACAATCTGGATCATCAAAGCCATGGGTTTGGACTTTGGACCAGGCTTCCTAGGAAAACTTCACCATCTTCTTCATGTAATTATGCAAAGTGCCTTTGACTCCTTGCCGCCTAAGTACTTCCCCAAGGCATTTTCCCATTTTTTCTACCCTATAGCTTGAATCAATTAAAACTCAAAGTAAGTGATCTGAACTCTCAAAATTTAAGGAATTCATAAGGCTAGTGTCTGCCCTTTTTGAATATGACATCCAATAATATCCAAAGCTCAAGTGGAAACTGTTTTATTCTAAACTCCCAAATGCAGTCCACCCATGAACAGATCCTAAGTGTTTTTATGTACTTGTGGATTAAGGCAGACCAACGGGGGTTTTGTCCCCATCTGTCTTAATTGCATTTAAAAGTGAATTATGTTGACTCCTTTTTTTTTTTTTTTTTTGAGAAGGAATTGGAAAAACAAAACAGGAAAGTAAGCAAAATTGCCTAGTGCTAGCATTGCACCCACACAAGCAGATGGCCCTCACCACAGTCATCAGTCCCCTTCAAACTTTTAAAGTTCTCATTCTGGAAAGATAATGCTTTGAGAATCTAAAAAGTATCCAAAACAAAACAAAGTTATTGCAGTGAATCTGAACTGTAGCTACCTTATGTTAAGAAAAAGGTAAAGGAGCCTATATCTGAACTTAGATAACAACAACAACAAAGAATAATGGCAATCAGGGATGAAAAAAACAGGTATGAAAAAAGGAAGATGGTGCAATCGTTTTTTGGGTCGACTAGGATTTTCACTTTTTACCCCTTGTTATAGAGTTTGGGCCATTGGGGGCACTCATGGGTTTAAGCAGACGAACCCAGCAGGAATTGGAAGAAAGAAACAATTATTAGATTCACTTTTGACAAGAAAAAAAAAAAAACACTTATATACTCATTTTTGACAAATTTGTTATTTTTTTTTTTTGGTATATTACTTATAAATGTAAACATTTCATCAAACAATTTCATTTGTACATCAAAAGTGAATAATCTAAAATGGCTCCACCAATTCTTACATGAAAAAACCAAAGAATCCAAGGGAACAAATGTATGAATAAATTAAAAGAATTTTCTACACCAAAATTCTTGGCAGTCTTTTCAACAAATTATGTCATTAGATCCAACTTATTCTTGAATCTCATGCTATCTCATGTTTTCCAATTACAAGTAAGCCAACGCATGCATGCACTTGGATTGTTCTTCAATGGATTGCTCTTTAACTTTCTTAATCCAGTGATTGCGTCCAATAATCACTCAATTGTAAGATTTATCCTAAAATGTCTACCGTTAGCCCTATCCTCCATACTAGAAGACAAGCAAAACCTTAACATGCATCTAACAAAATCAATCATATATATAGGATTCCCAAATCCCACCGACATGAGAAATTGAGGATGCTTGCATGGCTCTATCACAATCTGTTGTAGCGATTAATTTAAGAATAGGAAATTGTTTGTCCCCTTGAAGGAAAAAGCTTCATATATAAGCTTCATATCATATATCTTTGGCAAACGAAGGAGGTTTGGGAATTGGCAAGTTGAGAGAGAGAATGACGGTGTAAGTAAGGATGATAGTTTAACTTGTATTTGATGGACTTGGATTTGATTCACTTTTTTAAAATTAATTTATTTTTAAAATCAAATTTTAAATTAAATTAAATCAAATAATTATAAAATAAAAGTGAAATCAAATTTTAAGTAAATCTCTCTTGATCTAATTCGATATATATATAAAAAAAATTATTTTTTAATTAATTAATTATTTATATATATTTAATTTTATATTTATATTAAAAATTAATATTTTATATATAAAAAATATTTTATTAATCAAATAAAATCAAATTGAATATAATTTTATATAACATCTAAGATCAAATATAAAAAAATTAAAAAAATATCAAATTTAAATATTATTAATAATCTATCAAATCATATTCAAAACAAATAAAAATACATCCGATCCGACCGACCTTTTACCATACCCATGCGCGAGTGAGGTGAGCGGCAGGTCGAGTGATGTGCAATGTCAAACTGGCAGCAGACAGAGAAATTAAAAACGAGAGGAGACATGAGGACAATGTACTGTATTGAATTCACGTGCACATCAATTGTATGCTTCCAAAGAGGATGTCTTTCACGTCTGCCTGGGACACGTGTCACGTTTCCTGCTCCAAATACAAAATACTACGGACCGTTTGGGACCCAACCAACCCTCCCCTTTGCCTTTTGCCGTCAATACGTAACGACCCCCACACCTTACTGCAAGGCAAACTCTTCATTTAATTTGGCTGCCTGCCTTCCTTTTCAACCTTAGTCTGCCTTGTACTGCTCATAATATTGCTCTTTTGCCTCTCTAATGGTGCATGAACCATTACTAACCCTTCCTACCAAAAAGAAGAACAAAAAAAAAAAAAAGAGGATTTTACCTTACTACATTTTCATGCAAAACAGATGCTACTATATTTTATTATTATGCTGGAGGGCAGAAAAAAAAAAAGAATCAATTTTAGTTGTGCAGATGAAGCATGAATGTTGTTATATATGATACTTGAGAAAAATAATAATTGGAATGAGAGGGTTAATCTAATATGTAGGAATTATCCTAAAAAAGGATAAAATTTAAATTGAAGTAAATGATATCTAAAAAGTTGGTAAAAAAAACATCACACCTTAAAACTACATATAGATCATTGAAAATAAAATGATAATCATGAAAAAAAAAAAACATATGTTTCAAATTTATGGCAAACTATATATTTTCTAATTGTTAGAAATTAAAAGGTTTTCAAGACCAAGTTCCAAATCAGCCTTTTTAAAAAATTATTAAAAACAAAATGAAAGAATAATGAGTAGAAGTGTTTATTGATCGAGAGCAAATTAGTGTTAAAATTAATATCTTTAAATTTTAAGCTCAAACTTGATAAATTCAATTAATTTATAAGTATTGTTAAAATATAAAAAAAATTAAAATTAAAATTAAATAAAAATAAATATCATAGATAAATCAAGTTGAGTCAAGCATTGATCTTAAAAATCATTTTCAAAGTTTGACTCAGTATGAATAGTGTTAATAATGAGTAAATTACATAAAAATTAAATTTGGGTCATAATCTCATAATACTCTTTTGTTCTTTTTTTGTTATTATTTGGGGATAAACCAAAACCCTAACGACCAAGATGACTTGTAGAAGTATCTATCCCACGTAACAGCTTTCTATGTTTCGTCTCTACGCTTCCTCCTCTCGCACTCGCACTCTTCAGTCTTCACCCTTTTAAGCCTTCTTCAATTTTCTCCTCTCTGTGTGTTTAAATCTCTTTTTCTGAAAGGGAAGGGCCTATTTTGTGTCTTCTTCCATTTACATTCCAAACCAAACAAAAATCCTTAAAAAAAATGCATCCTGTTAAATATGGTGCCCATCATCTACAGCAACAGCTGTTAATGGATGATGATGGTTCTTCTTCTTCAGTTTTCTCCATTTCCAATCCTTATCATCAACAACAGCAATCTGTTTTGCATCCTAATTACCCATTACATTTTCAACAACAACAGAAACAACACCAAACACTTTTCCAGCAACATTCACTTCCTGTTACCCATCAGCTTTTCCAACATCATCATCAGCATCAGTTTCAACCATTTCAAGAACAAGCAGAGACTGTTCATCATCATCATGTCCATCAACAACCCTTTTTGGCTGTCAATTTCAAGTTGGGTCTTAATGAAAATAGTAGGAAAAAAGAGGTTGCTTTAGCATTGAATCATCAAACAAATGATGCTACCTTTCTCCATGGAAATGAGCAACATGTTCCAGAGAATCGCCGGCCACAACAACATTCCCTTTTGACACCCCATTGTTGGCATCCCCAAGAAGATTCTCCCATCAAAGAACCCTTTTGGTAATTTATTATAATTAATATCTAATGTAGTGCTCTATTATATATATATTTTTTTTCAAAGAAAAAGGTTGCTTTTTTTTTTTTTCAAAATTGACTTCTTTGTCACCATGTGTTTGTGTTAATGTTACCAGGAAGCCCCTAAACAGATGTGAAGATAGGCAGTGCAGTGGAGATGAAGCTAGAGAGATAGAGTGGAATAAGTACAACAAGGTTTTGCAACAACCGGATCAATGTACAAGTGAGAGAAGCAAGAATTTAGAAAACAGATATAGACTCTTTGGTGAGCTTGAAGCTATTTATGGCCTTGCAAAGGGAGGAGAAACTACTCGAGCTGGTTCTGGGTCTGCTCTCACGGGTGAAAATTCACCTGCAAATGTCGGTCTTTCCATGCTCTTAACTGAATTTCAAGGGCATAATGTAGGTGCCAATGTTGGGTTTGGTAACGTTGCAACTGGGGTTGATCATGGATCAGAAGCTTCTATTGGAGAAGAAGCTTCACTAAGGAAGATTCAAAAGAAGAAGAGGAAGAAGAAAATGAAGGAGCAATTGAGTTCAATGGTTGGGTTTTTTGAGAGTTTGGTGAAGCAAGTGATGGATCATCAAGAGGGTCTTCATAGAAGGTTCTTGGAAGTGATTGAAAGAATGGATAAAGAAAGGTCAGTGAAAGAAGAATCATGGAGTCGACAAGAGGCTGAAAAGCGTAATAGAGAAGCCATTGCAAGAGCACATGAACAAGCTTTAGCTTCGAGTAGAGAAGCTTTTATTGTTTCGTATTTGGAGAAAATTACAGGTCAAAGCATCAATCTCCCGGCAAGGGCTCCATTGTTAATGCAGCGAGAAAGTGCAATCGAACCCTACAATGAAAGCACGCCTGTGAAAGTTGATAACAATAGCAGGTGGCCTAGAGCTGAAGTTGAGGCCTTGATTCAAGTGCGATGTAACCTAGAATCAAAGTTTCGAGAACCTGGATTAAAGGGGCCTCTTTGGGAAGAGGTGAGCTCTTTCATGGCTTCCCTTGGTTATCAAAGAAGTGCCAAAAGGTGCAAAGAAAAATGGGAGAACATTAACAAGTATTTCAGGAAGAGCAAAGAAAATGTTAAGAAGCGCTCTCAGCAATCTAAAACCTGCCCTTATTTTGATCAATTGGATCAGCTTTACTCAAGAATACCCATTACTTGTCCCACTTCGCCTACGCCTTTGATTAACAGCTACATTGAGATGCAACAGCAAGATGATTCAAACTTTTTGGAAGCCTATATGCCTAAGAGAGACCTTGGGACTGCACAAGTTAATGGTAGCGGGAACCTTAAAGTTTCTGAAATGAACTTCCCGAAATTGGATTTTGATGGCGCGGTTTGTGAGAATATAGTACAAGGAAGCAATAGAAAGGACAATGAAAGCCATGGAAATTACTTGAATAATGAGGGTGAGCGAGTAGATGATGATAATGAAAGTGATGGGGAAGAATGAGAATTGTGGTGAACGAAAAGAATAGAATGCTAAAACTCGGTCTGCTACGAGGTAATTCCTTTTCCATTCTTAAAGATTTTCAGCTCCAATGGTGTTTAGTTCAGCAATTGTTGCTATTAACTTTGATTTTGAACTAAATTTTCATTACAACTGACTGTGTATAAGCAATATGTTCGACCAAATATGTTGGATATGAACTAGTAATTTCAACCCATCTAAAAATAGTTGATAAAAAAATTTAAGTGAATGCTGACCTCTTCTCTCGATGTGGTAGGCATTACTTTTTCTTATTCTTTGTCATTTCTTTTGTTCTTTTTTTTTGTTTTTTTTTCCTTTGTATCACCTGTCTATTTAGGATGGATAGTTTTGGTCCAACAATCCATTTTTAGTTTCAAAATTTGAACCTTTATCTATGGCTTCCTCTTCTCTTCATAGTAACAATATTGTTCCATTGGCTTCTAATAGGATTTCATTTGATTGAAAGTTGGGGATGTAATGAAACAGATACAGAATAACTGTCTTGAGTAAGAACAATACTGAGTACTTAAAAATGAAGTTCTTATTGTTTTAATCCATTGGTATGCCAAAATATTAGTACAGAAATACAAACTTTTCAAATGAAAAACAAAAGATGCTAGTAGCATCCTTCCCTTTCTTTTTTTTTTATGTAGATGATGATTCTGTTTGGGCAAAAAGAGTAGATTATCTTTAACTTCTCCTGGGAACAGTGCATGCAATTGGTGAGTACGTGTGGGGGTGGGGCCTGCCCTGCATGTCATGGGACGGCACAGAGAGATTTGATATGAGGGCTTCTTTTCCCTCTTCCAGTATAGGTTTGAGAAAAAAAATCTGAAATCTGAGTACATTTGATTTTAATGAGCAGATGAGATGACATCACTTGTAAGAGCACGCACGGTGACCCGATTCACATGGCTGCATCTGATTTACAGCAGAACACTCCACTTGTTTTTCTGCACTGCCTTCCATTGCTTGCATCCAGCAGCTATTAACTCCCTCCCCAGCCCTGGAGACTGCACCAATAATTTTCATCTTGGGTCTATCAAAGTTTTGTCTTTCTTATTTTCACATATTCTAACTTTATTATTATGGGATTGGAATTCTAATTATTGCCTTCGATTTTTCTATTTTTTATTCAGACAAAAATGGCTTTCCATTCTTGGATTACACAATAACAAGTAATTAGTAGTAAATCCACCCTTCTGCCATTTTATATTCACTCTTATAATGGATCAACATTAATTGATGATTGATGTCACACGACTGCTGCGTGCTGCGGGAGTAAATTTTGGCTTTAAAACATTTGGGTTTTCAAAGTTTGAGAGAATTAAAGAAGCTAAGAATTATTTGACTTGGCTGATTCCTTTGCAATCTTTCCCCAACTCCATTCACCATGTTCTTTTGATTTAATCTGAAATTGGCCTCCAAAAAGTAGTCCAAGCCTCCCTTGTATCATCGTCCAACTGCACTAATAATATAAAAAGCGACAAATTATAAAGTGAAATTTATCAAAATATGAGGTGGTGGTGAATTGGCTCGGTTTGACAAATGTGACAGAAATAAAAATTTTTGTAAGTTAGAGTAAGTTATTATAGAAAATTTGTTGAAAGGTTTTCTCAAATTGCTATGCTATTAACTTGTTTAACTCAAAAACAAGTGAAATTTGAGCCGACTGAAGAATGTGAATAGAGTTTTCAAAAGTTAAAACAACAATTGGTATCAACACCTATCTTTATCTTACATTTTAATATTGACAGTTTTATTATTTATAGTGATGCTTCCAAGAAAGGGTTGGGTTGTGTGTTAATGTAGAATGATAGGATAATTGCTCATGCTTCTAGATAATTAAAACCATACTAACAGAATTATCTGATTCATGACTTAGAGTTGGCCACCATTGTGTTTGCCTTAAAAATATAGCGACATTGTTTGTATGGCGAGCTTCGTAAAATTTATACAGATCATAAGAGTTTAAAGTATCTATTCACGTAAAAATAATTGAACATGAGACAGAAAAGATGGTTGAAACAAATCAAAGATTACGATTTAACCATTAAATATCATCCAAGCAAAGCTAATGTAGTCGTTGATAATTTTAGTAAAAAGTCCATTGGAAGTATAGCTGTTTTGATTACTTCGTAACCAAAATTGTTAGAAGAACTTAATGAACAGCAAATCAAGGTGACTATACAAGGAAAATGTGTTGTTATGGCTAGTTTATTGGTTCAACCAACTTTGATCGAGAAGATAAAATTGACACAAAAGGAAGATAGTGAGTTGTATAGAATCAATGAATATGTGCAGAATGATTTGAGACCATAGTTTAAGCTTCACGATGATGTCACATTACGCTTTGGGAATAAATTATGTGTACCAAATGATTTTAAGCTCAAACGAGAGATCTTGAAAAAAACACATAGGTCTCGATTCATTATACATCCTAGATGCACTAAGATGTATAAGGATTTGAAAGAAAGTTTTTGATGGAATAACATGAAATGGGAAATAGCTCAGTTTGTATCCTAATGTCTAGTGTGTCAACAAGTTAAAGCTGAATACCAAAGACTATCAGGGTTGTTACAACCTTTAAAGGTACCGAAATGGAAATGAGAGCACATCTTTATGGATTTCATGATGAGATTGCCTAGGTCATCGAAAGGGAATAATGCAATGTGGGTAGTTGTTGATAGGCTCACTAAATCAACTTATTTTTTACTTATCAAGTCGAGTACTTCACTTGATAAACTAAAACAATTGTGTATGGATAAAATTATCCGATTGCATAAAGTTTTAGTAAGTATTGTGTTAGATAAAGATTTTAAATTTATCTCTAAATTTTAGATAAGCTTGCTACGAGCTATGAGGATAAATTTGAAATTGAGTATATCTTTTCACTTTCAAACTGATGGGTAAATGAAGAATGAATCAAATTTTGGAAGATATGCTTTGAGCATGTGTGATTAATCCAAAAGGTAGTTAGGACAATTACTTACCTTTAGCAAAGTTTGTTTATAATAACAGTTACCAATCTAGTATTGGGATGGTTCATTTTGAAGCCTTGTACGATAAAAAATGTAAATCCTATTTATGTTGGGATGATGTTGGGGAGAGAAAACTATTAGGGTCGAAAGTGGCGTAATTGATTATGGAAAAGATCAAGGTGATTAGGGAAAGAATTAAAATAACACAAGATCATAAAAAAGAGTTGGGCAGACAAAAAGATAAGGGAGTTAGAGTTTCAATAGGAGGACTATGTCTTTTTAAAGGTGTCACCCACAAAAGATATTATATGGTTTGGAAAGCGAAAAAAGTTAAGCCCATATTATATAGGATCGTTTGAAATTTTTGATAAGGTAAAAGAAGTTACATACAGATAGCCTTGCCATCTCAGCTATATAGTGTGCCTAATTTGTTTCATGTGTCATGTTAAGAAAATATATCTCTGACATGAGCCATATGGTAGAGTATAAACCTTTAGAAGTTCAAGAGGAGTTAATTACTTGAAATATCATATTTGAATAGTTGATTGAAAATAGCAGGTCTTGAGGCACATAATTATTCTTTTTATAAAAGTTTAATGGAGCAATCATACATTAAGAGAAGTAACTTGATAAATGAAAGATAATATGAAGAAATGACATTCTCAATTATTCGAAAATGAATGTAAATTAAGTTTCGATGATGAAACTTTTTATAAGTTTGAGAGAATGTAATACTGTTAAAAAAAAATTATGTATTTTATAACTGAAGGGAGTATTTTATAAAAAGTTAGAAAGGTAAAGGACTTATCAATAAATAACTCAATTTTTAGTAGGGTTAATTTATACTACTATTTTCGATCGATAACTGATAAAAAAAAAAAAAGCTTATTTCTCTTTTTTTTTTTCTTATATAGAACACACAGGTTAAAGAATTTCAATTGAAGGGCAAGAATAAAATCTACAAAGAAAGTCATATTTCAAAGGTCAGTAAATAATTTTTTTTATTTTGAAAAATAATAGTGATGGTTAAATCTTAAGGTTTAACTTGTAATAAAAAAACCTAAAATTTTAGGAAATTCATTATCCCTCTACAAGATTGGTTTAAACAAATCATTTAGACTTTAATTAGGGTATAATAAAGTGTTGATAAAGTTTAGTAATGTGATATTATTGCTATAAAAATAAGAAACAAAAATTTGATGGGGTTAGAAAAGAAAATTTATGTTTCATATGAACCCTAGTGTTTGCAATGGTAGATTAAGATAATATTATGTATTAAGGGATAAAATATTGCTATAATTATTATATATCATTGGAAAGCTTGCTGAATTTACTTTTCAATGAAATAAAAGGGAGTTAATTTCAAGTTTTCTATGAAGAGTAGTTTAATTTTTACTTAAGGATGTGTAAGTTACCTACTAGCAATAGTAGAAAGGAATTATGAAATTTCTCTTAATTTTTATACAAAGAATTATATATTAAGCCATACATGTTTGAAAAGATCATTAAGTTTACTTTTCAACAAAACAAGCGGAATTGAATTTAGAGTATCCTATGAATAAATATGTAATTTTTATTAGAAAATATATATGTTATATGGCAGTAGCATATGATGTGGATTACAAAAATTATTACAATTAATATACAAGGAATAAAGAGATGGTCCAATATGGGTAGAAAGCTTATCGAGTATAGTTTTCAATGCATTAAAGAGATCTTGATTCCAAATTGTATATCTTGAGATAGGGTCATTTAAGTGAAAGCAACTTAGGCTGGCAATATTAGTTAATTACATTAACTCTTGTGTAACATGGTTGTTTTTAGTATTAATGGTTTTAAAAAGAGTTGATTAATTTTTGATGTGTTGATATGATCTTGAATCGATCATTAATTATTTTGAAAAATAATTAAGTGGTGAAATCAAAATGAGGTAAGTAAAATCTCACATAATTTACTTGTTTTCAAATCTATATATACTTATAAATGAGTAAATATTTATTTCTTTATTTTTTTTATATATAAAAAGGATCAAACATATAATTATTTTGTGTTTTTGCTATGTAAATAATGGATCATTCTTATGAATGAAATGAGAAAATTATTTATGTTTAAGGAACAAATTTATGATAGTTACATTTTTATATCCTAAGAAGTGCGATCATCGACATCAACACTAATTCTACGACCATGGCTAATGGATAATAGTAGTTAGTATAATCATACGATCCTACTAATGAGTTATAGTAATTAGTGTAAGGTCATGATTAATAGGTTATAATAGTTAACAATGATCATGATGATGAAATTGTCGATATGACTAATGTCACAGGTTATAGTAGTGATCGTAGTTAATTATAAATGAATGATAATAATGACTTATGATGATTTTTTAAAATTGATTCATGATTTTATTTAATTACGATATTTGAATGACGATACATTTTGAAATGATTTATGAATTGATATGTTTGATATTGATTTATAAATTTATGAAATGTTTAATAGAACGATGATATTTGAAATGCTTTGACATTATGATTTGATGAATTTTAAATTATTTATATGATATGTATAAAAATGATACTTGATCCGATAAAGTATATAAACTTATATTTCTTGAACTGTGATTTACTTTTTTTTTTTTTTCTCTTTATAGATAAATAAATGATAAGTTTGATTAATCTTATAAAAAACTAGAAGATCAAATTAAAAAGATTATTTGAGTATTAAAAATATTATTGACGAATGAGATCTTATTAAATAATTTTATATTTTTATTAATTTATATTTAAATATATAAAGATTTATTATCAATTTATTAAAATAATTTAAAATGATTAAAAAATATTTTATATTATCTTAAATTTTATTTTAAAATAATATGATTATATTGAATCTTGACCTGATATAAGCATTATCTCTAAATTAAAGTAAACTAACGAACTAAGGACCACACATAGTAAAAGAATGGTGTCAATCATGTTTGTTAATAATTAAGTGATGGTACGCGCTTGTTCCTTTTTCTCTTGCTTCCTTCGACCCTTTTGCAGCCACTAGCCAGGCCTTTGAGTTTTGGGCTACTTTTGGGTCTAGATTTTCCAGGTCTTGAGTCCCCTTCCTGTTTTCTATTTTATGATTAGAAGGGCCATCGAATTTGTCCCATATGTCTTGTTTTGGGCTGGATGTTAATGCAATTGCAGACCAGCTATTTTTTTTATTTTTTATTTTAAAACCATTCAAGCATACCAACATGGATGTCATATGACATCCACATGAAATTTTCATGTAGTATTTAATAATTTCTTAATTAAGACATGGCAAATATGTGGCGTGTTGTATTAATTAGATGCCACGTATATGTATTGAGTTGTCAATATTAATCGATGAATTAAAATATTATAAGCTTTAAAAATTCGAAAAGGGAATCGTATATTTTGTTAAAATTTGAATATCAAAATTATAATTAACTCTATAGTAAAAGATTTGATAATAATTATAATGATAATTACAGTTGGTTTAGCTAAACCTCGCAGAGGAATCGATTTGGTTGACAGTTAATAATATATTTGGTATAAAAACAGCCAAAATTAACTTTCCAAAAAGATGGGCCTAGGGAGTTGGTTGTCTAGGCTTTGCTAACCACCACAAAATCAAAATGGTGGTGGCATTTCGTCTGATTAGTCAACATAGTTGTTATTGTGGTTTTTTTTTTTAAATCTATGAGAACACATGTGATCAATGAGATTGAAAATCAAACTTTTTGTATCCAATGTTTTAGTTATAGAATTTTTACCCTCTTATTTATCATTTGTTCAAGTGAATTTGGTCATGCACAAATGGAGTACAATAATTGTTAAATCATAGGATGGTAGACTGTAAAATTCAAAGGATGAAATATAAAATTAATGAAAGGTAAGCCTAGCTGAATGAAGCTTCAAAGTCAGGGGAAAACAATAATGAAACCTGCATTTATACATATATATATATATATATATATATTCTTCGCATGATTCACAATTCATTCTTCACATTATTTTATATATATATATATATATTTCATGCGGTTGATAGCAGAAGCAAAACAAAAAATTAATAAAGGAGATATTAAATAATAAATTTTAAAAAATAAAAATAATAATTAAGTGAGACTAATTATTATATAACAAGAGAGGTAAAAAATTTGGGGGCGGCTAATCCTTTCACCCTGACTACAAACTTACCTAGTAGGCGAGGATGTTCCATATCGAACTCCAACTATAATCCTTCTCAGCATCTTATGACCACATATCTCATGCCAAATGAACCAAGGGCTCATTGACTTATGCTTTATTATTATTATTATTATTATTTGTTTAGTGATGTTGGCCATCACCTTATGAAGTTTGGCATATTACCATATGTCTGATGTCTCCCAACGATGTGAATGATTGAAGGAGGCTAATTTGTAGCGACGTGTGATAGCATAATTTAACAGATGAACAAAATTTCCGTTGTATTAGTATTATTTTTGAAGTTTTTTTATTTATTTTTAAATTTTCTTACTCTATTATATATTTAATTGAAAAAATTATTACACATTTAAATTTTTTTAAACTCATAATTTATCGACTGATTTAAGAAATAATCGATAAATTTTTATTATATTAATATAAATTATAATTAATATTTTAGCCAAATTAAAAAAATTGTGAATCATGTGTTTAAGCTTAAACGAATCATTAAAACTTTATATGCGTCCCCACCCACGCAAAAAGTAGGATGCCAAAAAAAGAAGAAAGCAAAATCAAACCAAAAGTAGGTTCGGACTTGCTTTATCAATTAGATGATTAATTAGTCTAATTAATAAAATATTTTTCTTGTTATTTTAACTTCTTTAAATCCTTCTTTCTAAAAAATGTACAAAGACAATAGGTCAAAGTTGTAAAATTTTTATTTAAAAAACAAAATCAATACGAATTGTATGTCAAGTCAATAATTTTAAACAGATTTCTTTTTTTTTTTCAATCCAGAAATTTGAAAAAAAAAGGAAAAATTACTAATTGTATGTCAAGTCAACACCTTTCATTAGCTGAAAAGATGGAAAATACCGATTTAATTCTACAATGTGCGCCAAGACTTTTACAGTGAAGGTAATTTTGAACGTCAGATTTTCTTCAATATAATAATGCCTTGGAAATTCAAGAAAAGTAGAAAACAATAGCCCATCTGCAAAACAGCGAGGTAATTTAGCACATACTACATATCATATCTTATCCAATCTTTGAGCAGTTCCTCGGAAAATTGAAGATGTTGATCTGAAGAAAACCAGGTTTTCCTGGCAACACCGCTGCTTTCAGCTTCTTCTATGCTATTATTATTCTGACAGGACTTCCAAAACTCTGAATCTGAGATATCAAGCGCCAGAAGATCCGCTATATCAAAATCCAGTGTTGAGTTCACTGAATGAGTTTCCTCTGATGTGGTAGAAAATGTTCCATCACTCAGTTTGGCATCATGCACCGGGATAGAATCAACATTTTCAGCTTTATATGGCTCCTGGTGGGTGACTAAAAACTTGGAGCACTTCGATGCCTTGGTTTTAATTGCAGTGAATTGTGGGGTTTCAGCCGCTGATTGTGTCTTGGCTTTCTTCAAATTTTGGTCTTTAGATTGCTTCAGTTGTTCACCTCCAACCTTTTTTCCTAAGGTTGAGTTCCAGTAATTTTTTATTTCATTGTCTGTTCGTCCTGGAAGTCTCCCCGCTATCAAAGACCATCTGCAAACAACACAATTTGATATATCCACTTATATCAAATAACATTAATAAAAAAAATTAGAAATGAAAGAGAAAAAAGAAAAAGAAAAACCTGTTGCCTAGCAACTTGTGAAGCCTAATGATAAGATCTTCTTCTTGTTCAGATATGTTTCCTCTCTTGATATCAGGCCTCAAATAGTTCAGCCATCTAAGCCTGCAACTCTTTCCACATCTCTTTAAGCCTGAGCCATAAAAAAACCAGTAATAATTAGTGTCAGCAAATATAGAACGAGCCCAAAAATAGAACTGTGTCTTTGTGTATACGTTGATCAAAAGTAATTAACAGTACTACTTACCAGCTTTCTTGGGAATATTTCCCCATTTGCCTTCACCATTGGCTTTGATGTAATCTATCAGAATCTGGTCCTCAATAGCATTCCAAGCTCCTCTGTTCAGTCCTTCTTTTGAGCAGCAAGGTTTTCTACCCATTTGAACTTCACTCCTCTGTCTGTCTATCTCTCTCTCTCTAATTAATAAAATTTCAAAACAAACTTTGCATGGGATCTTGGTGTTTTTTTCTTTTAACTAAAGAGAGCAAGATTCTTATAGACTGTCCCTTTTCGTTTGGACATGAGGGTTGTATGAATTCAACATACAAATTTATTCAATTCAACTTACATCATAAAATGAAATCAGCTTTTTGGAAATTAATAAAAAATTATGGCGGTGAGGAAAAGTTCATGTCAATATTTAGAAATTCAAGTAAGGTATCAGTGGAATTGGGCCTTGTTCTTAATTTTCTTGTATCACGTGTTTTCATGGTTAATATATAATGCTCTAAATTCTCTGTTTGATATAGGCTGTTTGATGATTAAGAAAATTGATTGCCTTATTATACACAAAAAGCCACTTAGTGATTGAGAGGGATTGCGTGCCTTAAAGGTAGTTTGATTGATTCATCGTTTTTTGAGCTTCTAACCAAATCAGAACAAGACAAATGCTACTATTTTTTTTTATTGCTAGAGTCAAGAATTTCCATTCAACTATGGAAGTCCAGCATCCAAATAAGAAGAAATAAGCATGACAATAACTACAAAGATGCCGAAAGAAAAAAAAAATACCAGTCCCTTTTAGAACTTAGCTACTTAATTGATCTTAAAAACTTTGGCAAAATAAAAAAATAAAAAAGAGAAATGTTGACAGGTATTTATCGCAATACTTATTAAAATGATATTAAAAAAATTATATTTAGCATACTGTCATGTATAGATTTTATAATTAAATAATATCAATTTGTTAATAAATTTTTTAATTAAAAATAAGTTTTTAATTATAAATTTATATTTGATCATTCATGATATAAAATAATTTGATTTATTAATAACATATAAAATATATAAACTAATATGTATCAAATATTAACTTTAAAAAATTATAGTTATGTGTTATATAACCTTAAATTTGATGAAAAGGGTAAATGAATATAATTTTGGTTAGGTAACTATGGTTTGGCAACTTGCAGGAAGTAGTTAGGTTTTTTGCCCAATAAAGCTACTTTTACTTTATTGTCAAGTTGTCATATATGCATGGAAAAAAGTACGCATGTGTAAGAATTGCATCAAGGAAACTCAGTTTTCACCCCAAAAAAATGGGTCAATTAGCAGCCATTAACATTGTTGAAGGAACCTTCCTTTCTGGCATTTCATTGATGAGTAGGTTTTATATTTTTCATTCATTGTCAAGTGGCCTATATGAAAAAAGAAAAATCATTAGAGTTGAAGAATTGTCAAGATGCTTCCATGGAGTAAAAAAAAAGGCATCACCCGTCAGCAAACACGCAAGATTGAAAGAGAAACAACGAAAATTTTAACATTATATTTACAGTTATACTACTGAGTGTTTAAAATTTGCTTCAACTTTATGTACACAGAACCAGCAAGCATTTATTTACAGCAATATTATAATTAAATATTAAGAATTAAAAGATCGGTTTCATAACCAATCAATTTGATCCTACCTTTTGTGACCATTTAAGGTAAACGGTTAGTGAGATTCAGTCTCTTCCAGTTTGCTACTAACAATGATTATAATTCAATCGCTTAAGCTTGAATCTTCCTGCAGGAAATGAGAAAACAAATAACAAGTTTTTCTCCACAGAAATTAAAAATTCTGATGGCATGTTTCATGCTCAACATTCATTGTTCAGCCTTTTTGAGTTTCATTTCATTAGATTTTCTCCCATTGGGTTCTGCAATACAAGCTTTACCGACACTCAATCTTGATTACTTTAATGTTGCGAATCATGATTTATCTAGCTTAAGGGTATAAAAAAATTCTATAATATGCACCATTGATTCACCAATGGTCACTTACTTATAAGCAATATCGATATTTCCAAACAGTATTTGATCTAATACTGTACAGAGCATGCAGCTAAACAAAACCTTACGGCGAAAGTCATGAGATATGTAAGGGTACGGAAGATTATGAAGCGTTTGTTTCATTGCTAATTAATAATTACTAGAGTATTAAAAATGTAATTAATGTCGATGTAGATATAATACTTGCCTTTTCTTTAACGGTTGAGTTATCAAAACAAGAGAAAAGTCAATCCAGCTATTATAAGTGGATTTCTGAATCTCCATCTCAAAATTTTATTAGAAAAATCTAAATTTTTATACATGAAAACCTTGACTAGCTAAGTTTATTTGATAGAAAAAAAACAAGAGAGAGTTCATTTTAAGGGAGAAAAAATCCAAAAAAAGAATATTAGCTGCTAACACAACGATGCTTTACTTCTCTTGCATAAAACAAGTAAAATTTAACAGATAATAAATGCATATAATGATATGAATAGGATAAAAATTCCCTTTCTCCAAGATTTTAGCAACTTACTAAGTGCAAGGTCAGAAGACAGAAATCAGAAAAATCCTTTGGGTAGTCTTGTTTGATGTTCGGTACCGTTTTGATATGGTTGTATGTTAATTATTGTAGTCAGCACCCCAATTTCCATGGTAGGTTTTTGGGTTTTCGTGCCGTGAGAAAGTTTTCTTTCTACCAATATAATTGAGACAAAACAATAAAGAGTTGACCAAACCTTCCACCCGGTATTGGGCTAGGGTGTAGAACAAGTAACAACCTTGACATTGCCTAAGATGCCGGCGTCGATTTGCTCAACTTATTATGACTCCACTATGTTTCGAGAACCGGGCTCAGTTTCCGAAGTGGAATTTTTTTTTACTTGATTTAAGAATTTAAATTTTCATCATTTAATAAACCTGACAAAATCTTAATTTTTTATTTCAAGTTTGTTTTAAAATCTTAAAAAATGTTTATTGATATTTATTTGTTCAGATCAGTGTTTATACAAAAAATTTATAATTAATGTAATATTATTTTCTTTTAAATTGGATGAAAACAGTGGATACATGCAAAAAAAAAAAAGTTTTCTAAAATTAACGTGCACCCATTAATTGGAATTTTTTTGGTATTTTTGTGAAAAATATAGCTAAAAGATAAACTAGATCCTAAGATCTTAGATTATATAGGTTGCAAGAGTTATGTATAAGAGGCCAAAGAAGGCCAACGATGACATTTATGAGCAAAGATTAATTTCTTTTCATTAAGAGTTGTTGAATAATTATATGGTCAAAGTATATGAATTTAAAATTTAATTCAATTAATTTATATAATTACTGTTAAAATATGACATTCGATAAATTTAAAATTTATATCTTAATACATATAATCCTTTCATTACTTTCAAATTATGACTTCTTTTATATAAAAGAACAAACTTAGTACTTACAACTTTCATTTAATCAATTATTTTATACATTAATTGGCTGCACTGTTTTAAACATTTGATACTTAATTAACTATTGCTAATAATACTAGGATTGAGTTTAAAAAAATAACTAATACTAGGATGTATTATGGTTATTTTTCGTCATATATATATATATATCTAGATATCTATTGCAAATTAAAAGAGATGAAAATTCTTATATTATTTAATTAAATCCTGGATTTCAGAAAGCAACCATGTGTATATATATTAAAATAATTAGTCCTGTTGCATATGAATACTATAATACGAACAAATAATAATATAAAAAATAAATATATATGGTTAATATTTGATTAATGTAGAATCAATATTTTACTTTTTTTTTTTCGAAGTTACAAGCTCAAAATTTACTCATTGATAGTTGGCTCCACACTATGGCATTTATTCTCATGCACTTTTGACATGGACAGAGGTAGGGTGCCATTGCAACTGCCAAGCTAACAAATGTAAGATCTATACTCGCGAGTTTAGATTAACAAAAAGGAATCAAATTATCCATTCTTCAGCAGATTCAAGGAAAGCAACCAAAGATCCAAAATCTGAATCCAAGTTGGCTTGAATATTATAGTCACTTCCACGCCAGTTCTGCTCCATTTCCTCTGGTAACAAAAATGCTTGTGATTCCGCAATTTTGCTCGTATAAGTATCAGCATCATCTCCTTTCATCACTTTATCCATCTCCGGAGCATCAAGATCATGACTATGATTTGTGAAACCAGAATCAAGGATTTCTGAAATATTTATTTCCCTAGGCTTGATATTCACCAAGAAATCCAGAGAATAATTTTCTTCATTGCAGGACATAAATGTAACATCACTGGATTCCAATCCTGCTGCAACATTTTGCACTAAATTTGCATCCACTGAGGGTGGAATAGCCACAATTCTGTGTTGCTGAATCTGATCATCAGGGGTGATAAAGACCTCTTTGAAACGCGGTGCCTTGGTGCGAATAACACATGAGCTAATTGGGTTCTCATCCATTCTACTGGTGATAGGTTTCTTTTCAACTTTGGAATGGTTTGATTCTGGTCGTCGCTCCTTCTCTTGTCCCCTCTTTGATAAATGGGTGTTCCAATAGTTCTTGATTTCATTGTCCGTTCGCCCCGGAAGTCTCCCTGCTATCAGGGACCATCTACAAGAACAAATTATATTGCATTAAGTCAACAAATCATCCATTTCAGTTGCATTATTATCATGAAAGTAGAATAGAACCTGTTGCCCAAGAGTTTGTGAAGTCTGATGATGAGATCTTCTTCATCAGAAGAAATGTTCCCTCTTCTGATATCAGGTCTCAAATAGTTCCTCCACCGAAGCCTACAGCTTTTCCCACATCTATTAAGGCCTGCATGAAATAAAAGAAATGAACTTGATTTTCATGCAACAAGCAAACCCAAACTCTGTATTTCTTTGGCTTAGACGGTAATGGATTCATTTGCAGGAGTGCCACTGAAAAAGAATAAGCCAATTTTCCATCCTAATTAATCATTCATGATCAAGTCTATGTATCTCACCTGCTTCCCTGGGAATGTTACTCCATTTCCCTTCACCATGAACCTTGATATAATCAGTGAGAATTTTGTCTTCAGTGGCGGTCCAAGCTCCTCTGTTCATTCCCTCTTTAGAACAACAAGGGCTTCTACCCATTACTGCTCTACTCTGTCTCCTCTCTTCTTGTGCGAGTTCGAGACAACTGAGAGTTCCAATAGATGTGAAAGTCCTTTGCTAATGAATGTACGGTTGGGGTGTCAGTAGACTGACTCTTATATAGATGTATTTGTTCAATTTTAAAAATTTGGATCAGTGTCAATAGGTAGTAATTAAAGTATTTAATTATTATTTCAAATTTTGTTTGTATTTAATTCACTACTTTTATCGATTGATAACAACAATTTTTAGAAATTAAAAACAATCCCAATGTGATTCAGCTGCAAGTGCTTTTAAACAACAAGAAACCAAGCTGTAATAATCAATTAATCCCAAGTTCTTAAATTCATATTAAATAAATAAATTATCATTATTCTGTGAAGGTGAGTGAAGTAGCACACTGTCATTTCAGTCCCCAAGCACTTTTAAATATTGTCACTCGATTGGGCTATGCATTGCCTTTGATCTGCAGGATCATAATAAAGTAATGACTTAATTACCTAATGCGCGCTTAACCATTTTCCCACCTAGTGTAAGGCTTGATCATGTTAGCATTGCTGTTTCCATTATGAGTTGGAGATAGACAACTTGATATAGAAATTCAGCTACCATTCCCAGTTGTTTATTCACTCTTGAACTAACGTTCCCACCCCGGTCTAGAAGCTTGAAAGTTTGTTGCTTTTCTCTCATCCTTTTATGGAAAGGATTGCAAATCTACAAAGGAGAGGAATCAAAAATAAATTATTTGTAAGGGTGAATTACACTTTTTATCATCTAATTTTAGGATGAAATTTATAAGACTTGCACTCCTGGCGAGGAGGGTTCTACCTCTTTTGGGTAAATTAGTTTAATTTTCCACTTGAATTTAAACAACATTAATTTTAACTCTATGGGCAGGTGGTAATTAGTAATTGATTAGAGGAAAGCTAAATTAAGCACAAAACAAATAGAAATTGAAACTTGACAGAAACATTGAAAAATAAAACAAAGTGTTCAAAATATATATTGCAACTTGGCAAATGCCAAGGGCTTGGTTACTAAATTTCTGTGGGGTGCTCATGCATGTGTATATACATATATATCCTTTTTCAAGAAACGGCCAATTTATTTGCAGAGGATGTATAACCAGAGCCTCCCAACGAGCATAGAAAATTTCTGGCCTCCGACCCATCATTATAATCTTCTCTTGCATGCATGCATGCTCAAGTGTCTCTGATTTTTCATGGTTGTAGATCCTGAAGCAATATAATAGTATAGCCAAGGGTCCAATTAATTAGTCTCGCAATAATACAATCGAATGCTGATTGCAATGGACTATGCTCTTGGTATATAGTCAAACAAAACGAAGTTTTGCATATGAATGATTTATTACCTATAGAAAAAGAATTGTCACATTACTCTCACAGATCAATCTTTACATATGCCAGCAGTAACAAGGAGGTGAGACAAAAAGCTTGCGATCGGGTGGGATACGGGTATCAGTTTTAAATGTTCACGAGATCCTAGCATAGATCTTATATACATATATATTTATATATTCAATTCTTAAATATTCTTCAACTGCAAATTAACTTAAAATAGTAATATAAAAACAAATATATCAAGAGCATTTTTTTAGAATTTTGTTACTCTTCCAACTAAATCTGGTGAGTGAATTAATTAAGAAAATATTGTTATCCAACGCGACATTTTGTGATTAAATATTGGATAGCCAAACGTCCATAATAGGCCATTTGTAAACAATTGGAGTGTCGAAAGTGATCAGATAAAATAGCAACACTCATTACATTAATTATTTTTATAAAACCTTCAACTTAAATTATAAAAAAAAATGTGAAATCTATCTTAAATTCAACCATCTCACAATTTTTAACCATTTGAGTATACTCAAGTCTATGTCACTTTTGATATAAAATTTATGTCTAAATTTTATGGAAGAAAGTACCCATGATATTAGAACTTAAAATTAAAAATGGGTTCATTTCCTTTGAGTTTGAGGATAATAAGTCACCTAAAAATTTTAAGTAACAAATTCTATAAATTATTCACCAAATTAATATCTTATACATTGGGCCTTATGTAAAACATTTTCTTTAAGCTTTATATTGCTTAACACATATCTTTTGAACTTATATATATAATATATCTAATCAAAATAAAAAATCGTTCTTTTAAAACTTTGATATTAAATAGTATGTCAACATCGATCTCAGGAGTTTTGCCCCTTTTTTTTTTTAATTAACATTGGCTACGTTAACTAGCAATAAGTAGAAGCAAGAAATTTGGGGTGGTGGACTGATTTTCATACAAAAATCAGATAGCAGTTTGCTGCTATATTTATAAAATTTATGTACTTACGATTATTAGAGATTGAAATCAAATCATTAAAAGTAAAAATCAACATTTTATCAACACTTAAATCATGTAACTATTGAAATTACTCAATTGAATTGGACTTGAACAGAGAACCAAAGTACATTTTTTCTCCATAATCACTTTTAAAATGATAGCAAAAGCTATAATTAATATTAACTCTTCATTACAGTAATAAATATATATATATATTTATATTCTGCACGATCATTGATATTTAATTAACAGAAAAAAAAAAAAAGAAAGAATGGGGCATATAAATATTTGGCCATGATATTTACAAATCAAGAGTTTGGTAAGTTGATTAATATATATATATCAGAACGTGATGAGAGAAGATACTATCTTACAAATTTCAGAAAATAGTTTTTTTCTTTAATTAAAGATTGAAAGTTAGCTGAGACCTAACTAGGAATTGACAATTTCAACGCAGGCTGGAAAGCAACCCACAGCAGCCCTCCCGAAATAGACAGGCTTTAATTTGTTTATATTCATTCTCCACGTTTTCGTGCTTCTGCTGCATTGTTTGCATTAAAAAAATGCTGTCTTACTGGTTCTTATAGAAGATGAAGGGAAAAAAATGCTGTCTGACGGACTTCACCCTCATCATTTTTTTTTCGGTAGTATTAAATTCCTGATCTTTACCTAGCATCTAGCGAGTTTGGAGATCTTAATTTAGATTATTCTTTAATAGCTGGATCAGTCACCGTCATTCTGATTCATATTATACATTTGCCCGAATGGCTGGCAATGAAACAATAACTCTTTTTTTTTTTTTTTTGCTTGTAAAATTAATAAAGGGAGTTAAAGTGAAGAACAAACCGAAAAATCTCTCATTTTCCACTGTAATTAATTCATCGGAACCAATTAAAAGAGACGACACCTGAACTGTAACTGATATCGTTTCTCAACAGAAATTCTAAACAGTAGTCGACTGGTTCTTTTTATGTGTTTCAATGTCATGATTTGACTGCCATTGTTCTTAACTGCAGACCTTTTGCTTTTTAAACGTACTTCATGTTCTTAATTTCAGCTTTTGGTACGTACACGTCTCAGAAGGGCATGTGCTCCTTGGCTGCAGCATGCCCGCAATCCCAGCCATATGATTTAGTTTGGAGTTTATCAACAGTATCCTCGGATAGATAGAAGTAAATGCTGTCTGTCAATCCTGGGGTCCCTAAGCATCAGGGTTGTAGTTCTTATTCTTTGTCCAATTGCTAGAGTACAGATTCATAAATTAGAATCATACGATTCAAATTTCATCACCTTTTTCTCTGAGCCAGTATTCGTTTCAGTTAGAATTAAGAAATGGGTTTTCTTTTTCTTTAACAAAAATGAGATTATCTTCATTAGACAAAGACTAAATGTAGATCCGCTACAAATGGCTAATTGAGAGCTTAAAAAACAACAAAGCAAACAAAACAGCATAAAGCAATAAACTTTATTTAAATCGTCAATATTAAAATTCTGAATCTGTTCTTTGTCTGTCAATAAATATATGTATAAACACCAACTTGCTGTAAAATATCAAATCCCATTCATCAAGATGCTTGACAGAAGAAAACATATCAAAGTGGTCCAGGTGATCAAAATAAACAAAGCAGAGGAGGCCGATGTAATAACTTGGTCTTTCCAGAATGGTTGAAGAAATTAAACCTTTATCAGCAGGGAAGGATCCAAGAAATTACTGTTGTTCAAAAAATTATCATCCAACATACTAAGCTAATAATAATCGTTTCCAAAGAATCTTTTCTTATCAGACGTTCAAAAATTATCATCCAACATACTAGGCCAAAAATATTCGTTTCCTAATAGTCTTTTCTTGTCAGACTTTAGCATATGTTTTCTTAAACCCTAACCAAACCAATATCTATATTTGTACGACAGTCAGATTTCCTACTTCAGCGTTCTATTTTTTTTTTTTTTTAAACTTGATTCTAATTTGCAAACTGTTCGATTGCTTCCCCAGCCCAAAAAAGTGATTTTTTTCTAATTAACATGAGCTTCGTAGCCACCCGGCCGCTCGTGATGACATTTATGACTGATATGATAACAGTCTAAAAGCCCAATATCTTGCGGAGGCATATCTCGAGTGCTCGGAGGCTGGACCTAAAAGCAGCACCCTAGCCTGTTTGCCATCTTTTCAATGGGCCCATGGGTCCTGGTCTGATCGTGGTCGCAACCGATAACAAGACCGGATTCTTCTTTTATTTATTCACTACCATAACGTAATGAACCCACCTATTAGATATTTATATTGATTGTGAAAGCTAAATTACTAAGGTGGACAATGGTTCGTTTCATTTTGATTTCATAAAAATATTTTGTTTTTTGAAAAATAAAACCAAATTTAATAATAAATCAAATCAACTTTAATAAAAAAAATTTTGAACTATAAATTTATAATGATTTGATCATCAATATTTATAAAATTTAATATAAGCTTTTTATCAATAAATATTGATTAAATAATGATTAGTTTTAAATAATTCATAAAATTATATTTTTATGTAAAAGTACATCAATTAAAAGTTTTAAAAAATATTGTCAATTGTGCATTAGTTTGATTATATTATCGAAGGTTGTGACTTTGATAGAATTTAGATATATAATATTTTTACATGAGTTATAGGAATTTGGAGATTAATGGTAGATTAAAAATTTTAAAAAATTTATAAATTAATTACTATTTCATACATTGTTATGGATTTACCGAAATGAATCAAAAATTTTTGCTCTATGAATAACATCTCAACTAATAATAAAATGACATTATATATATATAGGAATTGTGATGATTGACATTTTTTTTTCTTCATCACTAGTTAATTCATGATGCTTTAATATCAAGAGGTTATGGACAGTTGGATAGTACTTAAGATGTTTGGTTCAAGAAATAAGAAAATGGCTTTTTCATAAAAAAAAAAAAATCGCTTTTCCGTAATGCCATAATTTCATGGAATTCAAGGAATAATAATTCAATCAATATAAAAAATACAACTATCATATCAGTTAGTAAAACTTATTTGTCTATTTTTTAATTAGCTTTTAATGAAAAAAAGGACTCGACGTTCATTCCAATGTCACGTACATCGCACGTGACTTTCCACGCCCAAATTTATTCTTTTCGTGCATGCCCCGTTATAAAAACCGTTTTGATTCCCACTTCAAACGAACAAAATCCCCAAATTCTCTCAATTCGACGGTTCCTACGCATAACCGGATCGCCCTTCTCCCTCCCTTCTTCCTTCCTTCACGAGCCTATTCGAGAAAATTGGGTTTACAATTGAACTCGCCGCTTCGAGCTCGGCCATGTCCGTCCGCTTCAAATTCAGAAGCTCGGCCCACTACGACTCGGTCGACATTGGAGGGCTGCCTTCGATTTCGGTTCGTGATCTCAAATCCAGAATCGTCCAAAACAAGAAACTTAATCTTTGCCTGGATTTCGATCTCCTCTTCTCTGATCCTATCTCCGGTCAAGGTTACCTCTCGCTCCATCTGCTTTTAATTTTATTCTCTGTTTGGTTGCTTTCTCTGCACGTTATCTAGGAATCCAAAATTAAAGTATAAATCAAGCTTATAGTTATAGTAGCCTCATGAATTACAGGGAACTGGAATGTTGAAAGGAGGATTGAATTATTTTTGTAGCCAAACGTAGCTTTCTTTGTATTAGTTTCAGCTTAGGGTTAGGCTGATTGGTTTGACAATTTGACAATTACTTTGGTTGTTTGATGGATTTAATGCAGAGCACGTGGACGAAGATTTTCAAATTCCTCGTGATTCGAGTGTGATCATAAAGAGAGTTCCCGCGGGGTTAGTGCCCCTTTCTGTTGATTTTAATTTTATGTGCAAATTTTACTATGTGCCATCCTACCTTTGGTTCCTTACCTATGATGCTGATTCTGTGCAGGGCACGCGTTAGCTTACACAAAAAATTTGCTACAACAGATACCAATATTCGCAAAACCTCTCACCCAGAGGTGAGTTTTATGGCTGCTATTCAGTGCAACTATATGTCTTAGGAGAAAATAATTGCATAATTTTATGTTGTTACAAAATAAATAGATTTAGAATTGGGGTTTGGATAGTTCTCATTTTATTTACAAGAAGTGTGAAAAGAAATAAATTGTTTTACACATCTTTCTTTTATTCGGTTTGGCCTGAAGTTTTACGCTATGTTCACTGCTTCTTGTTAAGCTTTAGTTATTCTACTACGTTTTTTGTGATTCAATGAATTTCTAGATAGATGAAGAACTACAAAATTTTCTATTACATAATATATTGTGACCTCAAAATACGGTTTTCTACTTAATTTAGTTTTGAACTTTTTTTTTTTTAAGTGGTGGGATAACATATCTTTTGCAGAATGTGGAAACTGTAAACTTTGATGACTTTGGGGCAGAATTATGCCCTGTACCTGAGGGGAACTTATCTCGTATTGATCTTGATATGGAGAACAAATTTTGTATTGGCGATGAGAAGACAAATATCAAATTAAAAAGGTATCAATTATTGCATTTCTTATTTCCTAAATGCATTATTTAGTTGCATCAGAGGTTTTGATCTATTATCAGTCTATTTATGATTGAATTGCTAGTATAGACCCTGTATTATTATTCTTTCTCTTATAGGTGGGTTTTTTTTTTTTTTTTTTTTTCCGGCATTCAGGTGGTCTGAGCAACCTGTGGTAGAATGTCACAAATTTGAAGTGAGTGACATCAGTGAGGCCATTCCACTAGGTGGGAAATCCTTTGGCTACTCCTCCTTAATATGGACAGCTTTTTTTTATTTTATTTTTTATTTATTTTGACTTACCATGCAGCTATTTGTATATCAGGTCTGAATGCATCAGAGACAAAATCAAAACCTGACATTGAACTGAATACTAAACTGTCTGAGTAAGAGCTTTAGTCACTTATCACACCAGTTATCTTATTGTCATTATTTAGTCTCAACATCTGTTTTCCATTTTTTTTTTTTTTAACTTTCAAATGTTCTGTGGATGTTGAAAGAGTGGTAATTCGCAGTTTTCCAGCAATGCAAACTACTGATTTTCCCTCAGAGATGAAATGTTCTCTTTGCTACACATTTTTTAAGGAGGCCGTTATGATACCCTGCTGCCAGCACAGTTTCTGTGATAAATGTAAGTATCATGTGTAGTTGTTGACATTCGGACATTTTTGCATTTTCTTTTTCCTATGCATTATAAGAAGGTACTTCTTAAAATGTATTAATCATGGAAGAAAATTTGAGTACAAAATGCTCTCTGGCTCCAGAGTACCTGTTTCTTATATGAAATTTTAGTGCAATAAGGTTGTTTACTGTTTGCACCTGTCAGTTTTGTATACTGATGATGGTGTTTGTTTGCAGGCATTTGTCATGTGCTGGTTGAGAAGGCTAGGTGTCCCAAATGCTTTTCTACTAAATGCAAAGTGGAAGATTTGTTACCAAATGTGTCACTGAGGCAAGCCATTGAGCGTTTCCTGAAGTCGCAAATTCTTATTAATGGTTTAGAAAATGCTTTGCATCGATATGCTCCAGGTTTGGGAATAATATATTCTTGACTTTTTCTTCTCTCTTTTCTTCTTACACTGTTCCCAGGACAGTGAATAATTGCTTAATAATCCAAAAACAGATGGAGAATCAGGGATTCAAGTGAATGATGTTTCTTGTGATGTATCTGTCCTTCAAAGAGGAGCAGAGTTGCCTCCTTCTCCCTGTGCAACAGGGAGGGGATCCAATCAGGTTCCTGTAGAATCGATGGGTGGCGTAGGTTCTCATTTCAATGGTAATCATTTGCTCAAAGACCAAATCTCTAAATTGCCTGTTCACAAGATGTTGCAACTACCTGAGGACCTGGAAGGTTTTGCTGATTTCCAGGGGGAAAACCAGCCCATTAATGAGGAAGGTATAATCTTTTAGAAGTTCTCAAGCTATTTATCTAATGATTCTATTACTAGTCTTTTAGCTTCTAGCAAGTGATGCCAAATATACTGCTTTTTAATATCACTATATTTATCTTATTTATTCTCCATTCTTGGAATTCTAACTTTTTTTCTTGTGTAACTACAGCTGAATTCAATGTCAAGAAGAAGAGGGCATTGTGGGTTAACACTGCAGGTAGAACATTTAACCTAATTTAGAGACTTTCCCAACTCTAATGTGGGCATGATATCTGTGTATGTCTTCTGTGTTCTGACTAACTTGGTGTTACTGTAAGATGCAGAGAAGAGTTATGTGGAGAATGGAAGACTAAAAAAGGTGATATGTTTGTCTATCATCTCCTTGAACTGAATGTAATCATCAGTTGACATGCCTGAGCATGCAGCATACTACACATATAATTCATTCTATAGTATGTCTTTGATGTGCTGCTTTGATAACAGTTGTTGTGCATATTTTATCTGTCTGACATGTCTCAATTTTGTGCTATTCTTCTGGGTCCCAATGCCCTGCCTGACATCATTCATGCGTGTTGCATGTAATCTTAGTTTTTACCTTCTTAAGATACAGGTTTCTACAAAATGGTTAAGCATTAAGTTTCATAAAGTTGAACTCTTCTTTGCACTGTCCTGATTAACTTTCAAGCCAGTTATTTGCTTATTACAAACTTGCAATATCTAAAATGACAATAATATGGAATTTTGATTTGTTTGATTGAAATTAGGGGGACCGTGCCTGCTACATGTGTGGTTCTCCTGGTCATTTGAGGAGAGATTGCCCAGCTGTTTCCAGTCCACATCCTATGCTTCAAAGAGGTAAATGCTGGACATTTTGATGTCATTTTTTTTGTTTACCGTGCAAGCTATTTTTTTCGTTTATGTTTTATTGGCTTTGTAGGAAATGCTATGTTTCCAGGAGCAATGCCTGGTTTTGTATCAGTAGCACCCTACTGGAATGGACCTCCCTTTCCCCATATAATGCCATTTGTAAACCCATACGGCAACTCTGGGATGATGCCCTTCAATTCAACAGTGATTCCTGCTGCACCTTTTCCTGTTCCTACATACATGCCAACTATGTTCAGTGCATCACCTGCCTTTGGGTAAGTCCGTTTATTTATAGTGCCTTCTAAAACATGTATTTCTTTTATTGCATTATGTGTCTATATTTTATACTGGGGCATTTTGTAGGGGATTTACAAGGATGGGAGGCATAGCAGCTGCAACAAAAAATAATATAGACCACCAACTATTTCGTTCAAACTTGGATGCTCAAGATTATGATAAGAGACACCAGTTTACAAATGAGAATGTCATGAGGTATAAATCGTTTCCATATTAATCAACAACTTTGTGTGTGAATAATTAGAATTTTCAACGTGTATGACTCTTCTATTTGGTGAATGAACTGTTTTTTTTTGGCTTGGTCTTTTGGATTTAAGTGGTGTTTTAAGTTTATTCTTTCTTGGACTTTCAACTAATCTAAATTTTGAGAAAATATCTGAAGAAAGTTGCATCAAAACCCCTCTTTTTCTCTCTTTAAAGAGTCCAAAATGGAAAGTCAAACTCAGATCATTGTCATCAATTAAATTGTAATTTCTTTGGCATACTTTTTTCTTCTTATATGCTGATCTTTAATATGCTAATTTTCTGTGCATCAGAAAACATTTTTATGGTGAGGATGATGTTAAGAGACCTCAATATGATGAGGCAGAAAGAACATGTGATAAAAAATTTAATCATGAGAAGGAAAGGAGTGCTAGCTACTCTGAAGACAGCTTCACAAAAAAGTCACTTAAGAAACATTGGCATCCACATAACATTGATGACGATATTTATTCTGACGATGAAAGGCATGAGAAAAGTTCTCAAGTTGTTGGTCAAAATCCAAGGCCTTATCATCACTCCAAGAGATCAAGGTCAGAAGTAGATGATATGCCCGGTAGCCCCACCTGGCACTCTGAGGAGAGGCATAGGCATGGTCATAGGAGCTCCAAAAAGCATCGTGACCATGACAGTGATTCTAGTTGGACCCACTATCCAACTAATAAAGAGAAAGATGTTAAAAGAACAGTTAAGCATGATTCTGAGAGACAGCATCAGAAACATTACAATCACTCTGAATCCAGTATGGAACCAAACCATTCCACTGACCAGAAAAAGAAAAGAAGAGAGAAAGATTCCAGCCGAAGTTCCAGGCATTCTGGGCATAAAGCAAAATCAGCAATTGATGAATTGAGTCATGGTAGGTGGCAGATGGCCAGCAGGTCAGATGAAGACAATCAAGAGGACTATCAATATTATAGAAGGAAAAGGGTTTACTAAAACAAGCAACAAGTCTGATTTTTGAGGTAAATGTGTATATGAAGTTGCATATCAGAAATTAGGTGATAAATATGGTACTAATTTCCTTGCAAGTGAAAAGAAGTTAAATGTATTAACTTGGTTTACTACTAGTTCTGTTTTATTGCTTTTTATCTGGTTAGGATATGGATTTAGCACATTGCACTGGATGAACGCAGGGATGTTTCGTATCTAATTTTGATTCTCTGTTGGTTTTCTTGATACAGATCTAGTTGAGTGGTCGGCTTTTGGACAGTAGCTTCATGGATTATTTTTAAGTATCTTTCTACTAACCGTGTTTCCATTTCTAGCTTGAGCTGTTGAGGCAAGCAGTAGGAAAGTTTTGACCAGGGGAGCAATTGCCTAAATTATATTTTAGGTTCGGATGCTTTGTCCTTGCCCAAACATTCAGAAATTGATGAAGCCAGGAAAGGTATGTTTCCTTTTCCAAGAAAGAAAAAAATATTAAAATAAGGAGAAAAAAGAGAACACACCTGATGGCCAGTTAATTTCTTTTCACCACTTTGCATGTTTGCACCCTATATAGCAAATTGATAAATACTACATAATTTAGCTAACAAAGGAGCCGAGGGGTTTTTTTTTTAAAGGAGTGGTTGTTTTGATAAATACTCATGCTTGTGGCAGTGGGCTTTATATTTCGTTTTTGGGTTGTCCACGGCCCATGGACAATATGTTGTTTTCTGTCAGATTTAATGCAGGTAGAGCTAGTCAAAACATTTTGAAACAATCCCCCTCCCTTTTATTTTCTTTCTTTTCTTCTTGAATCGGAGACTTTTTCTTTAAAAAAAAAAATGGAGGGAGGTTTTTGGTTTTAAAAAAAAAAAGGAAATATGACTAAACAATATTGTTTTTCTTTCAAAATTCTATTGATTGTCCTCGACAGTTCAAAAAAAAGTTTTGATTGATTACCAGTCTCAAGGTTTACTACAATTTTTTTATATTTTTGTACAAAGCACAGCTGCTGAAAAACAAAATAGTAAATATATTTGATTTAGAAGATCATATGTTACACTAGAAACAACTATAATATTAATTTTAAGAAGAGGGAGCTAACTTGTACCAAAAAATTTTTAATCTTTTTACATGTTTTTTAATAATAGAATTAAAACAGATTACATTTTTTTTGTTTTCTAATCTTTTAGATTTATTAAAATCAATGATTAAAAATGATTAAAAAATATGTAAAATTAAAAATATTTTATACAGTCATAAGTTGATATTGCCCTTAATTTTTCTTTGTGTTTTAAATGATTATGATTTTGATTCTAAATGCGCTCTCGTTCACGGTGAGTCGATCAAGCTTGTGATGCTTGTTGGAGCATGATATTCACGAGTCTTAATTTGTACTACTATAAAAAAAAAGTAAAAAGAAAAGCCCTACGTGGGTGCCTAATGGGCTTTAAAGTAAATTTTTCTGTCAAAGAAAAATGGACTGATATGTTAGCCGAGCATGTTGCCATATCATGCAGTTTTAAGCGTCGCCTTCAATTGCGAAAATTATTAAAAAATTTTAAAAAATTATAATAAACATAATTAATATTAAATAAAAATTATAAAAACGTTAGATTTTCCGAAAAAAATACTGAATTTTAATTTTCAGAAAAAAAAATTACACATGGGTGTGCCAAATTTTAGTAGTCATAATTACACGTAAGCTAGTTTATATCTGTAAGCCATTTTCGTAATATGGTGAGAATCTGTGGTTAGCGATGTTGCTAGAAGGTCGCTCTTTGAAATGTGATCAGTCTAGGGCTTTCTTTCAATGGGCCAAAAATCTCGCCGACGGTATTTCGTTCATTTGTTTGGTTATTTTCCATATTTCCATTATCCATATATGTTTAATGGAAGTCTTCTTCTAAATTATTTTTAATGTGATTTTTGGAATTGGTTTAACATTTCATACATCATTAAGGGAAAGCAATTGTTTTTTTTTTTTTTTTCTATTCCAAACTGGAAGAAGATAATAAAAGAATTTTCTTTAACTTAAAGTTTTTCTTTTTAATCGCTGGGGTGAGGGGGGCTACTTTCAAAAATCGAAATTGCTTTTTTTTTTCAATAAAAAATCCATTTATAATGTTACCCATTTTTTCTTCCATGTAGTCTTAAAATTCTCCTTTATTTAATTTTATAAAATATTTCTCAAAAGATTGATTAATTTAACATGCACGTACATTGCATTGTCCTGTGCTCTCGATGTGATTAGACTTCAAGTGCAGGGTCCTTGATGCTAGAGAATGATGGTGGTAGCAGTACTCTTCAGGTGAGTTCGTGTGAACATTAATATTTAGATTTTTTAAAATTAAAATAAGTTTTTGAGTTATTTTTTAAAAATAAAATTATATATTTTATTGTATATAAATAATTTTTATTGTTTTATTTGTATTAAAAAATATTTTTATTTTCAATGAAATATTAATTATGTTAAGAATTTATTTAAATACAAATTAAAAGTTCAGAGTTTATTTAAGTGTAAATAAAAAAAAAGTTTTATTTGAATGTAATAAGAGTAAAAAGGTTTATTTTAGATATAAATTAAAAATTTATTTGGATGCAATAAAAATATAAAAGTTTATTTAAATAAAATGGAAAAGTTAAGTGATTTTTTTATTGTTTTAATTTTTTTTTATCGAAATTTGTTTTAATCACCTTTATTGTTGTTGACAAAAAAAAAAAAAACGCTTTATGATTAGATATAGAATAAAAATACATCCCCTATCGAGCAAGGGCGATAGACAAGACGAAGGACAGTATGAGCCATACCAGCATGAAATACCCCACCAATCTAGTTGGGCCGACGTCCTCTGGCTCCTGTCAACAAAAAAAGCTCTCATTGCCAGCTGAAACTGATGGTTTAAAACTAGTATAATCGGCCGAAATGAAGAAATACTTTCATGGGCTTTCGTGACTTTTAGAATTTAATCAGAGTAGAAAGAAGATAAAATATATTGAATTTCATGTGGAAAAAAGAATATAAAAGCTTTTGTTTATTGTTATCAAATTCAAAGGTTTTAGCTTTTTATCTCGGTTTTTCCATGGGGGAAAAGATAGGGAAAGAGAAAAGAATCTGTCTTTCTACTCCTACGGAATTCCATTCTTTTTTTTTCTTTTAAAATGAGGAACAGGAAAATAAGAGCAATTTGAAAAGAAAAAAAATTCATTTGTAGCAAAAATTAAAATGAAGAAACAAAGAAAGAATTAAAAGTGACTAAAATAAAAATTTGATACCTACCGGGAGGTTCAGGATTTTGGTTCATACCTCTGGTGGAGGGTCCTCCCTGGGAGTTTGGGTGATGTCCACCTCGAAAGGCCAGGCATATATGTCCGGTTGTTCACTTCTTGCCAAGCTCCAATCATACATTCTTCTTTCTTCCCCGGAGGACAAAATCGAGTAAGATTCCTGATTACAAAATGGTGAACTTTTCAACATGTAATTATTGAGCTGCTAGTCAAGTTTCAATTTTTAACAGAAAAAATAATGCACATTATCTTTCAGACTGACTTTTAACAGATCCATTTTCTTGCTGAGTTCTACTTCATCCAGCCCCTGATTCAGTAATTCA